CTCCAGGTTCCTAGTTCCATCCTCTTTCCAGGTTCATAGTTCCAACCTCTCTCCAGGTTCCTAGTTCCATCCTCTTTTCAGGTTCCTAGTTCCTAGTTATGTTCTAATTCCACCACTTCTCCAGGTTTCTAGTTCCACTGTCTCTGTTTTCTTAATTCCACCACTTCTCCAGGTTTCTAGTTCCACTGTCTCTGGGTTCTTAATTCCATCACCTCTCCAGATTTCAAGTTCCACTCTCTCCAGGTTCTTAATTCCACCCTCTCTCTGCCTTGATGCAAACCCTTGTTTAATGTTATTGTTTATGCAAAGTATAATTTATGCTAAAACATTTAAGATCCTGTAAATGGCTTACAGCAGTCGAGTATTTATGCAAAAGTGGAAATTTTATAATTATTTCTGGCTGTTCGATAGATTACACCCGACCCAACCTATTTCTAATTGTTCGATAGATTACACCCAACCCAACCTATTTCTAATTGTTCGATAGATTACTACCAACCCAACCTATTTCTAATTGTTGGATAGATTACACCCGACCCAACCTATTTCTAACTGTTTGATAGATTACACCCAACCCAACCTATTTCTAATTGTTCGATAGATTATACCCAACCCAACCTATTTCTAATTGTTCGATAGATTACACCCGACCCAACCTATTTATAATTGTTTGATAGATTACACCCGACCCAACCTAAAAATAGAGTACACACAAATCAACCGACCTACTTCTAAGTGTTCGGTAGAATACAAAACCTCCCAACCTATTTCTAATTGTTCGATAGATTACACCCGACCCAACCTATTTCTAATTGTTCGATAGATTACACCCGACCCAACCTATTTCTAATTGTTCGATAGATTACACCCAACCAACTTATTTATAATTGTTCAATAGATTACTACCAACCCAACCTATTTCTAATTGTTGGATAGATTACACCCGACCCAACCTATTTCTAATTGTTGGATAGATTACTACCAACCTAACCTATTTCTAATTGTTGGACAGATTACACCCGACCCAACCTATTTCCAATTGTTCGATAGATTACTACCAACCTAACCTATTTCTAATTGTTGGATAGATTACTACCAACCTAACCTATTTCTAATTGTTGGATAGATTACACCCGACCCAACCTATTTCAGTTTTCAAAGATCTCTGGGATTAGACGACCTTGCCCAGTTGGTGCTAAACACTGAAGATCTATTTAGATCTGAGCTTTACATATTCTTTTGAATATTTCATCAGTAGATACTGACAGAAACACATATACCTAGTCTCAGACTTCAAATAAGCAGAAAGTTTCCGTGATAATGCCAGAATGTCGTCTTTTTAAAGTTTTTACATTTTTCATGAAAATTAGAAGCTCTCTTGATAATTCATCTGAACACAGAGTCATGTCCAGCTAAAAATTTGCGAGATATCCTTCACATTTTGTTCTAATACTCTAACAACATGATCGGGATATAAATATTCTAAATAATATATTCAGGTTTCTTCTAAAGATGGAACCTGTATTCCCTTGTATACTGCGTGAATTATGGGAAAATGATGAGTGCACCAGGTGAGTCTACAGTCTACAGTCTACAGTCTACAGTCTACAGTCTGCAGTCTACAGTCTACAGTCTACAGTCTACCATCTACTATATCTAAAAAGTGAGAAGTTTGAATCAAGTTCTTAATGTTAAATAAACACTTAACTGAACATTAACCACTTGAAATAGTTTTCAGTCCATTTTCTTATCATGTTTCAAACTCAAATATCTTGACTTTTCGGTAAATAATCTTAGTTCAAGTGGTTTAGAACCTTAATTCTGCAGAGATTATTTAATGAATCTGTGAGCGTAATTTCAACTGAACCGTCGTGCAAAGATAGAAAATGCTCGATTCACAATTCGATATTAATGTTTCTTCTTTTGAAAATTGGTTATTTTCAACTGTGGTTTCTCTAAAAAATGACTTTCACATTTAAAGTGGAGGAAATAGTTAGGAATTATAACAAATATTTAAGAACTTATAAACCTAAAAAAACACGACGCTATCATTACATTAATGATCAGATAAAGGTTTCAAGGGTACCGTTGTGAATCAGGCAACTCCATCTTTGCATGACTAGTAACTTGAAATTACAGTCCCTGTGAGAAACTATAAGATCTTACTCCGAGCAAATTTTTAATTTTTAGAAACAAATGTAGAATATGGGACAAACATTCAAAGTTTACGTAAAAAAAGTCACTTAAAAAATAAGTCCACAATCCATTTGAACTAAAATTATAAGTTTCCAAACACCCTATCTCATTCTATAAAAGAGAACGTCTGGTTTCAAAACAAAAACATATGTATTCAACCCCCGGTGTTTGTTATAATGACAATTCAAAGCCAACAAATACACTGTCGAGTTACAAATGGCCTATTTGTCTGAAGTTAGTGGGAGATCTAAGCCTCTAAGGTATTCTAATACTAATCAGACTCTTTTACTATCAATACATCTCTAGGTCTAATTTGCAGGTTTTTAAAGTATTATTTTGACATTTTATAAATTTGGATTATGTCAGAACTTTAAACATTTTAAGATTGACAAAAAATTTTACGGTTCAAATAATTATCCGATCAATTTTAACATTTGGCACATGACCTCAGGGGAGGTTTATAAATAATCCAAATTTAAAAATGTTCCACTTAAAAATTTATATTTTTTGTACTTATGTAAAACCGCCAATGAAAACAGAAAAAAACTGCGAAATTATAAATTGTTATAAAAGCAAAAATGTTGTGAAAAACTAAGAAAATAAGTGCAATGTACATAATTTCAAAGGAGGTATACGGATAGAGCTACACTGGGTTTCCTGTATGGTATGAAAAGTATAAGAGAGGTCTGACTGTTAAGAATGAAAAATGATCTGAATCGGCAGAATAAGAAGTTAATTCATGGTTACTGATACTTGTAATTTAACCAATTTTATCTTCATGAATTCTGATACCACAGACTTTGTAACTAATGTATAAGTAAGGCCAGCATTTTTTCAAATTTTGTAACGTTTTGTGAAAAATCCGGGATTTTGTTACTTCATATCGTTTGCGTTTTTTAAATTCGTTGGTTTTATATTTTGTAACATTTTCTGGAAAATACGCCATTTTGTTATTTTATATTTAAGCGTTCTCAAGTTCATAGTTTTTATATTTTGAATCCTGTTTATCCTCCAATCTTAAAAGCTTTTACCAAAAGATAATTTGATTAAATGTATAATTTTAATCATGCAAAGATTGATCTGAGATGCAGGAGAGAAAAATAGAATTTTGCCCTGAATCAGAACCTACCCAACTTATGCCCAAAATCTGTATACCCTCCCAAAATCCCCTTTCTTTTTAAAATTATAAATATCCTCCCTCTCCCCCCCCCCCCTCCCTTCCAATCCCACCGCCACCTACCCCTTTCCTTTAGAATACCCCTACTTCACTTCTTAAATGATTGACTAAATTATTAATTTAAAGAAATCCTTCAATCTCTGATAATTGGATTTCTTTAGATGACTTTTATAATCCTGATGTCGAATTGGTATCCGTGAAAGCCCAGTACCTAACCCGTAGTTAGGACCCAACACGGAGTTAGTACCCAACCCGGAGAAAACCATCAGCGTTCGACCAAAAATAATGTATTTTTCACATCAATAATCAGCCTCAAGTAATTCTTTTTAAGTCGAAACCACACTGTTCTGCTAACCTTGACTTCTAGAAATTTTAAACCCACTTAGAATGGAGAAAAACTAGAAACCTTTGCACCAAGAGACCGGGAGAACAGAAGAACTCAAGAAAAGAAAAGCAGGGGAACAGGAGAACAGGATATCAGGAGAAAGTGAAAACACAAGAACAGGAGAACGTGAGAATAGGAGAACATGACCGCATGAGAACAGGAGCACATGAGAACAGTTGAACAGGAGAATTAGGCGAGCAGGAGAACAAGAGAACAGGAGAATAGGAGAACAAGAGAACGGGAGAGCAGGAGAACAAAAGATTAAGAGAACAGGAGAACAGGAGAACAGGAGAACAAGAGAACAGGAGAACAGGAGAACTGGAGAACAGGAGAACAGGAGAAAAGGAGAACATGAGAAGATGAGAACAGGAGAACAGGAGGACAGGAGGACAGGAGAACATGAGAACATGAGAACAGGAGAACAGGATAACAGGAAAACAGGAGAATAGGAGAACAGGAGAACAGGAGAACAGGAGATCAAGAGAACAGGAGAACAGGAGGACAAGAGAACAGGAGAACAGGAGAACATGAGAACAGGAGAACAGGAGAACAATAGAAAAGAAGGACAGAAGAAAAGGAGGACAAGAGAAGAGGAGAATAGGAGAATTGAGTTTAATACCATGTCTCCAGGTTCTGTTAATTCTCCTAGTACTCCAGGATCTCTAAAGTCAAGCTAATGAGATGGATAAATCATATGTATTTTACCCCATAAATATGCAAAATACTTAACAGTTCAATTTTATTTTATCTTTTGCAGCGCGTAAACAAAACTCTGCAGAAAACTATAGCTGTGAAGTTTGCATGCATAGAGAGATAAAGATAAATATTTACCATCCCCTGAAGGAGAAAAAAATAAATCATAGATGAAATTCTGTTTCGAAATTTTAGGAATTTCGTCAGAGATGGAATTCTCATAAACTTGTGATGTTGTAAAAATCACATGGGCGGATTGTATAAACAGGGAAATAAAACAAATTTTTATTCCCACCCCCCTTTCCTCCTCTCTATTAATAAAATAATTTTTATATCCCGCCCCCTTAATACTAGCCCCTCCCCCCTAAAGCGTTACTCTGATCCAGTTTAATGATTTAAAAGTATAAATTAGATCTTGTCAGTTTTATTTAATTAATCTTGAAGATGTTCTGCACACTACAGCTCAACCCTCAACATACAGTAGCAAAACCTCAAGTCATTACTTTATAGTTCAACCATTTGTTATCATCCTGGGAGTTTCTTAGAGAGATGGAGAGTAGCTGGTGTGTTAAACCTAGACCTGGATTCATGGTTCAGTATACTAAGCATATACCTGGATACATGGTTCAGTATACTAAACCTAGACCTGGATACATGGTTCAGTATACTAAGCATAGACCTGGATACATGGTCCAGTATACTAAACCTAGACCTGGATACACGGTTCAGTATACTAAACATAGACCTGGATACATGTTCCAGTATACTAAACCTAGACCTGGATACATGGTTCAGTATACTAAACCTAGACCTGGATACATGGTTCAGTATACTAAACCTAGACCTGGATACATGGTTCAGTATACTAAACCTAAACCTGGATACATGGTTCAGTATACTAAACCTTAACCTGGATACATGGTTAAGTATTCTAAACCTAATTTCTGAACCTGGATGCTTGGTTCAATACTTTAAACCTAAACCTGGATGCAGGGTTTAGTATTCTAAACCTAGTTCTTCTAGTTTTCCTGGCTCTCCTGGTCCTCCTGGGTATCCTGTAGTTCTCCTAGTTCTCCTGGTTCTCCTGGTTATTCTAGTTCTCCTGGCTCTCCTGGTCCTAATGGTTATCCTCTGGTTCTCCTAGTTCTCCTGGTTCTCCAGGTTCTTCTTGTTCTCCTGGTTTTCCTGGTTCTCCTGGTTCTTCTGGTTCTTCTGGTTCTCCTGGTTCTCCTGGTTCTCCCGGGTCTCCTGGTTCTCCTGGTTCTCCTAGTTCTCTTGGTACTGGTAGACCATGGTGTCTGGGTTGAAAATATCCAGTGTTTCCTTATACTTAACATATTCATGAGATGCACGCAACCAACACTTAAACCTGATACAGGACGTCACGTGTAATTCATCATTCTTAAACTGTTAGGTGTCAAGTGTATGCCCAGAGTTTGAGTATCGATCCTCCTATTTGATTTTGATTAGAGCTCTTAGAGGTTTGTTGGGTTTATGTTTAGGTTTCATGTCTTGATTTAACACTATGTTTAGGTTTCATGTCTAGATTTGACACGGTCTTTAGGTTTCATGCATAGATTTAACACTGTGTTTAGGTTCCATGTACAGATTTAACACTGTGTTGAGGTTCCATGTCTAGATTAAACACTGTGTTTAGGTTCCATGTATAGATTTAACACTATGTTTAGGTTTCATGTATAGAATTAACACTGTGTTTAGGTTTCATGTCTAGATTTAACACTGTGTTTAGGTTTCATGTATAGATTTAACACTATGTTTAGGTTTCATGTATAGATTTAACACTATGTTTAGGTTTCATGTATAGATTTAACACTGTGTTTAGGTTTCATGTACAGATTTAACACTGTGTTTAGGTTTCATGTATAGATTTAACACTGTGTTTAGGTTTCATGTCTAGATTTAACACTGTGTTTAGGTTTCATGCATAGATTTAACACTGTGTTTATGCATGTCTAGATTTAACACTATGTTTAGGTTTCATGTCTAGATTTAACACTGTGTTTAGGTTTCATGTCTAGATTTAACACTAGCTATGTTTAGGTTCCATGTATAGATTTAACACTGTGTTTAGGTTTCATGTATAGATTTAACACTATGTTTAGGTTTCATGTCTAGATTTAACACTGTGTTTAGGTTTCATGCATAGCTTTAACACTATGTTTATGATTCAATGCAAAATTCTGTTATTCTTATAAAAGCATTTGTTTTAAATTGTGCTGGAACTATTTTTGCTTGGTTTGGGTTGGATCATGAGAAATTGTTTTTCTACATATAAGGAAAACATTTCAGTTGGGAAGGGTGGATTTTTAACTTGTCAAGGAATAGGCTAGTCGTTGCAGGTTTCACACCTAAAATTACTTGTTTTTCAGAAATACACATGTTAGAGAGGAGAGAGGACGGAGTTATGGAACTAAATGTAGTGCAGTCAAAGAACTATAGGTTAGGTTGGAGTTATATGGAGAATAATAACATAGTTATTTCTAGTACATGGAGCTATAGTGTAGACAGTGACAGAGGATACATAGAGCTGAAGGAAGTTTGCTCAGAGTTGAGAAATAAAACCCTCGTTAGATTTGGATTTGGAAGTTTTGAGCTAGTAATTGGAAGTATTAAGTAAGTACTTGGAAGTATTAAGTAAGTAATTGGAAGTATTGAGCAATGTAAATGATATCATTGAGTACTTGAAAGTATTATATTTTAGTACTTAAATGTGTTAGAAGAGCAATAAACAAATTGTTGTCTCTCGTTCTTAAATTATGAAATACTAAAATTTGCTTGTTAAATATGTATATTGTATTATTGTATAATGTAAAGGAAACTATGAGAAATAAAAACAATGGCATATGCTAACTTAAAATGTCTGAATGACAATTTAGTGGTTAAAAAAGCGATTCATTTTGAAACACGTAAACCGTATCGATATTACTAATTATTAAGTATATTCATAAACTTATTATCAAAGTGTAAACTATTGTACACAGTACAGAGTTTAAATACTAAAAGACCTAATTTTTCTTAAAGCACATTGAAGACTCTTCAAATTAATTTTAATATTATAAACCTGTAAAATTTCGTCAACTAGAGATGTACAATACAAAGTGTACAATAGTGTAAACGAAAATAAAAATTCGCAACTTACTAAAAAATTTTATCGGGTTAGAGAAAAGCAAAGGTTCTTGGGGGTATACAAAAAGTCAAATTTGACTAGGAAAAAATATTCAAAATTGATCTAAATTACTCATTTTAATGGTATACCGTACATTTAATATAAACCTCTCACCAAACATACACAACAGCTTTCACGCTCATATACAACCCGCGTACAACAGGTAATGTAGTTTATCCCTGTAAAAGTACAAAAATACGCATATACGCTGGGTTTGCGCGTTTGACGCAGACTGAGCGGAGATCTGAACGTGAACCGTGCACTGTGCACCATATTATCCGCGCTCCGGCCTTTCTGCTCCCACTCATATACCAACATTTACTCAACTCAACTTTGTTTTTCTTATTTCGTATAAATACGTACTGCTGTACTGCAATTTTTTCAACTATAAATGTGCATTACGGTGCTAATAACAGTGCTTCACTACTTACTCAAGTTTGCTCTTAATGCGGTCAGGATGATAAATCAATAAATGTGTAAAAAAAAATTATTCCAAGTATGGAATTTTAGCGCTAATACCAGGCCGCCACAACCCACATATAAAATGTTTTCTATATGATACCCCGCTAAAAATTTAGCATTATTTACCAGCGTAAAGAATGTGCAAAGCGAAAAATAAACCGATTAAGTAAAGCTCCGAATTAACCAAACCGGAACAGCTGACTATTCCTGCAGTTCAAGTAAAATATACAAAATAATATTCATCATTGCAGGTTTTCTGCCAGCCAAAGAAATTGAGTCTAATTTGCCACAAACTCTGATTTTCTAATCCCTATATTTTTGCAACCCATTGTCGTAGACCTTAGATGTTTCAAACTATGAATACTGTTAGATCAAATAATTCAAGTTTGAAATAACACCATCAGGTTGCAAAGATATAGGGATTAGAAAATTTAAGTTTTGTGGCAAATATTCAATTCCTTTGCATCAACTCATTTTTTGTCAGGTTTTTCAGGAGGTTCTCAAAAAATTAAAACAACGTTCACCAAACCTAACATTTTGATAGAAATTTTGAAGTAGTGATTTTAAATTGTTCGGAATTTTGAACAAAATGTTCGTCACTGGGAAGTGGTTTCGGTGTGTTAGAGTTTAGAAACCAATTGTTCTGGTATCTTCTAAGAGAGTGCTCTGTAAAGTTTGCAAAATGGTCAAACTTTAAGCCAGAGATAAGAAGGGGCAGAACAAATTCAGAAAAACGAAACAATTTTGTTTTTGTTTTCAAATCGTTTCGGATCATAACCTCTTTCAAAGCAAAATATTTGCATGAAACTGGAACACTTTAAAGTTCTTTAATTTTTTAGATTTCTATGGAGACGTTTCTCAGGGTTACAAGTTGACAGTTGGAGGCAACTAGGAATACAAGAAAAAAACTACTCTGTATAGTCTCCTCATCTCTGCATGTACGTTTTACCCTCTTACATTGTAATTTGCTTTGTCTTGACCGTAAACAAGGAAAATCTCAAAATTCGAACAAAAACAATCATTGCTTCTATATTTTTTTGCAGAGTTCCTAATTAAAAACAATTTAACACATTTTCGTTAAGTGTTTTCAATTGTAACCCATACATTTATTAGTTTCAGTAATTAGCAAATACCTGAGTAGTGAATAACCTATCTAAGGAATGTATACAATTCAGATTCCGGCACGAGACTTTAAAGAGAGTGTACACGAAATTTCAAGTAACTCTCTATTTATAAAGTGGCATATATCTTTGCAAGACTGAATAGGATATCCATGATTTTAACTTTGAAAATTTGTGTTTTTTTCTAAATGGAATTTGTGGTTTTCTGCTTCTCGTCTTAACTCTACGCGGCATTTATTATTGTTTTAAAACATATCGTCAGTTAAAGTTTGGCAACACTTGTCGAAAATTGAAGATACAAATTGTTGAAATTTATTTTTATATTAAGTTAATTTTGAAACAGGTGAACGATCCCTTTAATAACAATGTTGAAAATCCTCCAATAAATACGAAAAATCCGCCAAAGTTTTCATTGTACTTTTTGTTCTAAGAGAAAATATTTGGAGTTAAAGTAACAAAACTAACACTAATATTAGAGAGAGTGCGCGAAACGCTCTAAAACCCTAGAAGTGATAAATCCCATATTTTGAAATACCTATATAGGAGATATAGTGGAGAGGGATATGATAGTTCCTACGCATGTCTTGAGTTTATGTAAACTGATGTTTAATAAGATAAGTTTAAGTGTTCAGACGATATTTACAATTATGGATGGATCCTAGTATAAGCACATATACAGGGTAAATAGGGGATAGCCAGTCAACAAAGATAAAGCGGACTGATTGGTGTCTTCGATCTTTCTTTAAAGTTTAAATACCGCTAAGAATTTTATAATTTACTACTGTTATAGGTTACAAATTTTAGTTTTTCTGTATGAATTTCAGATCATGAACTTCTATGAAAAACTTGGTTTCTAGGCAAAGTTTGGTTCCTAAGCTAGTTACAGAAAAATTGTCTAATGCCAAATGTTCATAATCCATATAAAGTCTTTCCGTACTACCTCTGCCCTTGTTGGCCAATTAGGAGCCTGTTCTTCTCTTAAAGCTTGCAAAAGTCCTCACAGTCCGGTAGAATTATTTCTTGATATTCTTCTATATTAATATACAAGTTCTCAGTTTTTTTGTTACCTGAAATGTAACATATAACATATAAACAGTTTTTTGTGAGAGGATAAATATCGACTGACTGATTTGTTAAAGTTGAAAAAGAGAAAAAAGCGCCAAAGGAAAATTTTAGTATTTTTTCTTAATTGGCCAAATTTGAGGAAAGATGTTCTACAATCATGATCATGATATAAGAATCGAGTGATGGGAGGGGGTAGAGGGGGGGGGGACGACCCTTGAATTGTACATATACTGTTGCGGGATATTACCGACCCTTGAATTGTACATATACTGTTGCGGGATATTACCGACCCTTGAATTGTACATATACTGTTGCAGGATATTATGCTCCATAACTCAAACTGTGCCAGCATGAATATTTCAGTAACTTAACAACCCGCAAAACAAATTTTATTCAAAATGCGATAAAATTGTATTTAAAATTGTCCTAGAGGTAGAAGTGGAGAAATAAAAGTTTCCTCCTTAACTTCCCCGTAAATAGGCTGTAAATAATTATTGCTTATTTCATCACCGAGGGAAGGTAATTTTAAACCAATAAACAAAGTGCATTCCACTTTTTAAACTTTACTCTAAATGTAACGACGATTTAGAAGCTGTAATATTTAGGATTTGAAAATAAAAGTTTTTTATTCTTTTTCAAGGCACAGATGTGTTATAAAATTCACCTCATAAATTTTCAGTAACTTTCGTATTTTTATTGAACAAATGTGTCTATACGTTTATAAAATTCTTAAAATTAACAAAATTCCCATAATTGAACTCCATTTATTGTAAATGCCCCCTGGCTTACATTTTACAAAATTACAAAGTTTAAAATCTAATTTCAACTCTCAGAGAATAACGTTTTCATGAATTCTTGTAATTTCATTTTAAAATTAATCTTCCAGCGTCTAGACGGGTATAATGTCTAAATTCAAGAGAAAAAAGATTTATGCAGTTTTATATATATATATATGTGTGTGTATATAAGTATATATAGAGATATATGGAGGTATATCGAGATATATATAGATATTAAGAATTTCGCATAAATTTCTTTTTCTTGAATGAAATCTAAATCTGAACCAAGTTTCGGGGAATAGCCTCTCTAGTTTATTAGTTAATCCACTAGTTTAATAGTTAATCCTCTAGTTTAATAGTTAATCCTCTAGTTTAATAGTTAATCCTCTAGTTTAATAGTTAATCGCAAATATTTCGATCAAACGTTGCAAATAAAAGCCTAATATTACGCTCATTGAAAATTACATTCCTGAATGCATTGTACAAAACTTGCATAAAAATAGAATAGAGCTACATAACAAAGGTTTAGTCAATGGCTCAGTCTCAACCCTGGTCAGTAAAATCTGTGGTTTCCAGGGGGTTTTCAGGCCCCAACGGATGCAAACCCCCCTTTGAACAAAAAAAATTAAGCCCCCTTTGAACAAATTTTTGAGTACGCCCTTGGCGAAAAATCCTCATTCGGCTAGGGACAGCGTAATAACTGTGCAATTGATACTTTTACAAATATTTATAATTCACGGTGAACTAGAGGTCCTGGTTAAATATTTATAATTCACGGTAAACTATAAGAGATCCTGGTTTAATATTTATAATTCACGGTAAACTAGAGGTCCTGGTTAAATATTTTTAATCCACGGTAAACTAGAGGCCCTGGTTAAAACTCCAATGAGTCTTAGGTTTATGAAGCATTTTCACTCATTAAATACAGCTTTTTCGTATTTGCTACTTTATAGTTTAGGTATATATTTCACGTTATACTGAAGTAAATTTTTATATGTTTTTAATCCTATCTCTTCTCTTTTTGTACAGATATTGCAGAGAGAGGACAGTCGTACCAATAAATTTATCCTTTTCATCCTGTCTATTTCAGTATGATGAATCTCATTTTTGACGAACTTGAAATATCTTTTAGCACCATTAACATCTCTGTTCTCGTTATTTTACGTTTTTAAACCCTTACACTGTAAGTCTGTAGGATTCACAATAGGGATTAAATATTTTCCCGTTTTATTCCAAAATTGGAATTATTACTATAATTAGTTATATTATTATTATTATTATTATAATTAGTGACGTCATTATCGTTATATCTCGATACATTTCTTGTTGGACGTATATTCAAGTGTTATAGAACGAACAATTGCTGCACAGACAGGAGGTTTCGGTTCCCCCGTGGGAGTTTTGGGCTTAGAAGAAAGGACTTAAACCTTAGGGGGCTATGGGGGCACAGCCCCCCCAGGATCACTTAAAACCTATGGTTTCCAGGTTTTTTGGGCCCCAAGGGGTGCTGAGCCCCACACCCTTCTTAAAAAATTGTAAAACCCTCCTGAACAAATTCCTGAGTACGCTCCTGACATTGTCTTGCTCATGCACTCGCTAATCCGCTTGCTAATCTGCAGATTAATTATAATTCCACATTATTAATCAAATAAAGGTTTAAAGGGTACCATGTTGAACCAGACATGTGTCTCTTTTAAAAATAAAGACACCTGAAATTACAATAACAGTCCCTTTGGAGTAATAATTTACATTATCTATTTGTTTGAATTTTTAGCAACCGAATCTCGCGATTTTAGAAAATTTTCTATAAATCCGTGAAATGCTGTGATTTGAAATTGAATGAGCTTTTCAGTTAATTTTGCCAAGGTGTAAATTTATGTGATCAATTAGATCCCACGTTTTCAAGATTAATTGTAATGTTTATATTCAGATTAATTTGCAGAACCCACAATCTTATGCATATCTCATGTAACCCAATAGTAACATGCCAATGAGTATCGAAGATAATTAACCATCATTTATCTTCTAAATGTAAAATAATTGAAATATTTCATGGAATTTATGAATTTTGTCTTTTTTACTTTTGGGTTTTTGAGAAGTACTCTTCTGCTGGGAGTTTGAACTCAATGTAAAGAGAATTTGAAACCGGAAATTCCAGAGTTTTTATCAAATCTGAAATTACTAAAATTACACCTTTTTCCGGTTTAAAGATTTCAGTGTAACCCGTGAAAGAAATTATTTGATAGGTGCAATCCCTTAATGGTGAACTTCTTGATTCGTTTTATAACATTTAAGAATATTTAACAAATTTGCCTTTTTACGTACATTGAGCAAAACTTTTACTATTGACCAACATAATTTATCAAAACAATTTTATTAAACATTTTAATTTTTCGTTTTGGCACTATATCTTCTGCTTACAGAGCTGGGAACTTTTGGCACTATATCTTCTGCTTACAGAGCTGGGAACTTTTGTGTAGGATACTAATAATCCCGATCCACAGATCTCGATATTTCCTGTGGGCACTTTTTATTTCAGGATCAATACTTAATCTCATCATTTCAGCTATTCCTCCCTTGATCAAAGCTCCGCTCAACCCCAGACTGGGTACGATTACCATGTGGGATATAGAATTAAGAAAAAATTAATCTACAGATTAACAAAAGTTCTAGAGCAATAAGACGACATAAGAGTTCCCAGGTCAGGCTGAAAACTTTAGAATTGGATACCCTTAATCCCGATCGTTTAATCTAAATATCCACCCACTGTGGAAACCTTTAATTTGTTGTTAATCTCCTTTTGGATATCCCTCCTGAGCTGGGAACTTTAGAATGGGATATCCTTAATTCCGATCGGTTAATTAATCTGGAGATCAATAAAAAGAGGAGAACAAGCATTATTAAATCTCGAGATTAAGAAAAAGAGGAGATCAAGCATTAATCTGGATATCCACAATTCAAAAGTTCCTAGCTCTGGGATCCAACCAATGACAGTTCTCTCATTAATTGCGCGCAGAATATTTTTAATTTCTCCGCAATCTGATTGGATGTTCGGAATCTCCAATAGACACTCTGATTGGTTTAATTTTATACACTTTCTAGGATATAAACTAAAGTTTAAATAAATCTTGAGATTAATAAAAAGAGGAGATCAAGCATTGATAACGATATTCACAATTCTAAAGTTTTCAGTTCAGAGCTTGGAACTTTATTATCGGAAACCTTTAATCCAGACTGCTTAATCCGAATATCCAATGTGGACACTTTTAATTTCTTGCTTAATCCACTCTTTTTTAGTACAGAAAAATCAAACTCCGGTTTTTCAAAATTAGAGAGTCCCTCCCGTTTTTGTATATTAATCTTAAATGGCGGGCAAAATTTCAAATTTCCTGGCTTCTGATACCCGACTCCGATTGGTTGAATTTTATACACCTTTCAGGGATACAAGCACAAGATTAGTTTAGTCTCGAGATTAAGCTAGAAGAAGAGAGGATCAAGCATTGATCTCGATATCCACCATTCTAAAGATCCCAGCTCAGAGCTGAAAACTTTAGAATGGAATATCCTTAATCCCGATCTGTTAGTTAATCTGGGGATTAAATTCAGGAGGAAAACAAGCAATATTTAATCTGGAGATTAAGAAAAAGAGAGGATCAAGCATTAATCCTGATATCCACCATTCAAAAGTTTCCAGCTCTGGATACATAAATGTAAACCAGTCTACGAATCAATTATGGAAAAAATCTTCTGTATGATTGATCAACATAACAAAGTTGTGAACACTCAACTTTTTATTTGAACATAATCCTTAAAATCTTTTTATGGATTTCTCTCCTCACTTTGTGTCAAAAATCCGACTAAATTTTGCAAGCATAAAAAACGCTGCCCCAGTCTGAGAAAAAAGCAAAAATCTGAAAAATTAATGTTTTTCATTTGCTGGTTCTCTTTAAAAGTAATTGCGGAAGCATGCATCAGAGACAAGAAACGAAATTGACAGAATATTTTTCTTTTAAAGTTAGACAAAGACGATTTTCTTATTTTTTTTAGATAACGGATTGTGAATCGGGCATGTAACTTTTAAAATAACGTATCACATTAAATTTAGTCGATAGTCCCTTTAACCCTGCAAATTTAGCAAGAGTTTTGAAGCCGAGACTGTTGTAAACAACTAGGCTTAAAGGGAGAAATAAAGAGGTTCAGGTTCTACATGAAGAAACCTTTCAATTTTAAACCGTTCCATCACAGGATGTAGAGAGATGCCGGAGCTGCAAACCTTATCTCTGTCACCATTAAATCCTTATTGACCCTTATAGAAGCTGGGTTCTTGTGCCCCTCCACTACACAACTATTAGACAGATAACTAGAACAGATCAACTCTCAAAGAGACTGTTCACGTATAGTGGCCCAGTATTTCTAATTTTCAACGGAATTCTTTACCCATGAATTTAAAATTATAGAGATAAGTTTGTTTTTCTAAGAAAATTGTTGACGATTTGTAATTGCAGTTTCTCCATAAAACTGACTGGCGCATTTATACATCAGAGAAAACGAACGACTTTGAAAGAAAATATCTCTTTTTGATTATCAAATTGAGGGTCAATAAATATTAGGCCAACAGTCTCTTTTTTAGATGTTAAACCTTGGCTCCCAGATCATTCAGTCAAAACATATCTGAATGATTCTCCTATACTCCCTGTACAATTTCAGCTTGCGCAAAATGTACAAAATGCCACGTTTAATTTCTTGCGCTGAAATGGCGTAGTCTTTTTCCGAATTTACGACGAAACTGGCTAAAACTGTTAAGGCCTTACACATTGAACAGAAAATTATTTGAAAAATCCACAAAACTTACAAGAAACCAGTTTTTTGGGGAAAAAACTATGATTTTTTTTACTTAAGTATCAAAGATTCATGGCCTCAGACACATCTTTATTCCTCACCAGACAAAGCTTTAAAAGTTACCCCTGTGAATTGGACATATGCCACTTTATAAAATAGGAAGTTATTTGAAATTACGTTTACGGTCGACCTGCAAGACTCAAAAAAGCGTGTGTTGCTAGTAAAATCGCTTTACTGACAAATTGCATCAAGAATTGAATAAAAAAGAGAGAATTAAAATTTTACGGAAATAGATTTTTAAGTTTAATATCATACAACATTTATATGACCATTTAGCTTCTAAAATATAATTTCGCATTGAAACTTTTTATTCTACAAATCATAAATTACAATTGACATAATCTAATTTTTTGTTTATCTTTATGTTCATAATCCAACACTTAGAATGAAATATTATTTGATTGGAGTTTTTGTCAAATAGAAATATGTCAGGGTTTTTGCTCGTTGTTATGCTTGCAATCTCAAACCTATCGACTACAGTACTTGAACAACTAAACATGGAGAACACATAAAATCATTTACTTGGAATCATAATCAATACAAATTATATCTATATACGCCTTAAACCTATTAGAGTCAGCCCTACTCAATTTGAACCTAGAATAGCTAACCTTGATAATACTTTATATCTAAACCTAGAAGAGCTAACCCTGATCAATATAAACCAAGAAGAGCTAACCCTGTTCAATTTAAACCTGGAAGAGCTAACCCTTCTTAATATGAACCTAGAATAGCCTACCCTGTTTAATCTAAATCTAGAAGAGCTAACCTTGCTCAATCTAAACCTAGAATAGCCTACCCTGTTTAATCTAAATCTAGAAGAGCTAACCTTGCTCAATCTAAACCTAGAATAGCCTACCCTGCTCAATCTAAACCTAGAAGAGCATATTCTGTTCAATCTAAACCTAGAAGAGCTAACCCTACTCAATATAAACCAAGAAGAGCTAACCCTGGTCAATATGAACCTAGAAGAGCTAATTCTGTTCAATCTAAACCTAGAAGAGCTAACCCTACTCAATATAAACCAAGAAGAGCTAACCCTGCCCAATTTAACCTAGAAGAGCTAACCCTGCTCAATATAAACCTCGAAGAGCTAATTCTGTTCAATCTAAACCTAGAAGAGCTAACTCTGCTCAATATAAACCTAGAAGGGCCAACCCTGCTCAACTTAAACCTAGAAGAGCTAACCCTGCTTAATATAAACCTAGAAGAGCCAACTCTGCTCAATCTAAACCTGGAAAAGTCAACCCTACTATTTCTAAACCTAGCAGAGTAAATCTAAAGCTAAACAAAAGTCATCCCCCCCCCCCAGGTCAAATCTCTTGAACACGGCGTATGCCCAAAACCTAGTTCTGGGAACCTGATACAAACCTAAAATATATGAATGTATTCAAAATCAGTTAAATTACGTTAAAAAATGGTCGATGTTTAAACAGATTGACTTAATCGGGAGCCCGACTGAGTTTTTTACGGGTTTCATTATATTCATGTCTCAGGATTCCGTAATAAATGATTTTTGTGTCTGAAAGGAAGGGAGGGGGGAGGGGGGGACACCCCACCGTAAGACCGGTCGTGAACGACCTTGAATGAAAAATACCAAATTACCCTATTTTAAATAGTTGAATACTTGAAAGTACGACATAGTTGTCTAGGATGGATCACACGTACCCTGATACGGGATTGTTTAAAATCATTTCTCCGATCCTAATCTAGAATACATGGTTTCACTTTCTCAGATATTAAAATATACAAGTCTCATATAAATTACGGCGAGGAGGAGGGGGGAATGAAAACCGTTCTGTGGTTTATTAAAGCATGCATACCATCCTGTTCCTAAAACTGGTAAATTACAGACCTGCACCATTATATTCTTGATCCTTTGCAGGGAAATATTTAAAGTTTCAAGATAATTTGGGTTTACTATGTATCCAGGAGCTCCAGGAGCTTCAAGCTTTCCTAGAGATCCTAGAGCACACAATTCAAACCATAATCTACATAAACTGCATTATATGAGAACTCAACCCGGCGCATTTTTCATAAGATCTGTATAAACATATAATTTATAACACTCATCAACCCCCTATCCCAGGATGGTAACCTTCTCATGAACCCCCCTCCCTCCCGGATCCCTACGGATTCTCTCAACATACCACCTTCAATGCCCAAATAATTTTATCCGGCACGCACCATAACCCTGCACACCTGACCAAACCCAGATCATTATGTCATGTTACTATATCGTTAACAGGAAAGGTCCACTTTGATTTATAGATTTCAAATACCTAAAACATCATTTAGGCATTTAAAGGTTTGGGGGTGTTCTGCTTTGATTGGAGAGATTAAATATTCATCTGATCAAGAATAGTAAACCTAGGATCCACTTATATATATATATTGATAAAATCAAGGATTGTAAAGCAAGATTAAATATGTAAGGATATTTATAATTAATTATTGATAAAATCAAGGATTGTAAAACAAGGTTGAACATGTAGGATATTTATAATTAAATATTGATAAAATCAAGGATTGTAAAGCAAGGAAGGATATATCTAATTAAATATTGATAAAATCAAGGATTGTAAAACAAGGTTGAATATGTCGGATATTTATAATTAAATATTGATAAAATCAAGGATTGTAAAGCAAGGAAGGATATATCTAATTAAATATTGACAAAATCAAGGATTGTAAAACAAGATTGAATTTATGTCGGATATTTATAATTAAATATTGATAAAATCAAGGATTGTAAAGCAAGGTTAAATATGTAGGATATTTATAATTAATTATTAATAGAATCAAGGATTGTAAAACAAGGTTGAATTTGTCGGATATTTATAATTAAATATATTGATAAAATCAAGGATTGTAAAGCAAGAAGCGGATTTGGCGTAGGTCAGAAGTGGAGAAAAGCTGATTTGCGTAGGTCGAAACCCCACAAAAATAACAAAGACGACCTGTAGATGAGGTTTTGTGATTATTTTATTTTGTGTAGGTGTCAATAAAACTAAAACTGCGGCATTATTACAACTAATGCGCAAGTCAAGAATAAGTGAAAACAATATTTTCCATCAACAAATTGAAACCCTTTAAGGAGATTAAGTTTCTAGGGAGGAATTATAATTTAATTGAATGGATTTTGTTTATTACTATTTAAGGTTCAAATATAGCAGTCATAGTTTATATATATATTCCACAAATTCATAGTTTATACTTTTTATTTCAACCTCTACGTTCCAATTGAAAAAAAAAATTCCACGGGGAACGCCGGGCCCTTCAGCTAGTAAGAAATGAGTGTCCACAAAAAATTTCAGCCCAATCGATCTAGTCATACATATTTATATATATATATATATATATATACGAATGTCTTTTTTATTTTAGGTTTTCAAAGTATAAACGAGAAGAAATCTTATAATTTAAGTGGACACACTCAAGTAAGAATCTCTAATCAAAGCTAAGAACATTCCCGTGGTTTTTCCGAGTTCCCCAATTTAAAATTTGAGGCAAATCAGTCAAGAGGTTTGTGAGTTATGATCGGACATCCAAACAAGCAGAGATTACAAATTTATATATACTAGCTGAAGGGCCCGGCGTTGCCCGTGAAAAAGAATGTTAAATTTTTTTTCTTGAAAATTTCGATTGTTTTTAGTCCTAATACTCCCCGACCATCTCTGAGATTCCATAAACAATTTTAGCCCAAACGGTCCAGCCGATTGGCCGGCTATAGGCAACATATAAATGTACGAATGACTTGTTTTATTTATTATATGATAGATATTTTTTTCCAGAACGAATGTGTGTTTAAAGATGTCTAAAGGATTTGTTGTGTCGGAGCAGAAGCTAGCTGAGAAGCTTGTTGTTCTCAAGGAACGGGGAAATGGAATGCTCACACGGATTTATAACATCAAGAAAGGTTATTTCCTGAATTATTTTTAAATAATAGATAGTCGAAAAGTTTTAGATGATAATCCTTTCACGATAATTCCATTGTACACAAAAAGTCTTTTAGTTCAATCGCACAAATTAAATCTAGTTTATGGCAGATAGTCCTTTCACAATTTCATTTTTCCTTTCGTTGTCGATGCATTATTCAAAATGTCATGAACATGTTATTTAAATTTTGGAAATTGTGGAAAAACTTGTAATCTGATTGTTTTCCTGTTTTAAAAATAATAGTTTTGAGATTTTTTTTGTACAATAAAACAGTTTGGCGGAGAAAAATTTTATAAATCATTTTTTTCAAAATTTAGTGTCCCACATTTTTTCTCCCAGGTTGGCTAATCGGGGGTGTCTACAAGGTGTCCCCCGAAAAAAACGAAGAATCATGGTTCAGAGACCCATTCCTCGGATTTAAAAAAAAATGCACTTTCCTTAAAAAAAAATATGATTTTCAGACTTTTATTCATCGTTTTTTTTGGACATACTGAATGTAATTGATATTGAATATTCAAGACAATAATTCTTTTGAATAATTCAATTTTTTTATTTGACCCTAATATTTATAATAATCTAATATATAGTTTAGCATACTTTTTTTTTCTTTAGCTTGTGGGGATACAAAATCTAAACCATCATTTCTCTCGGAGAAGTCCCTGGAGGGAAGTATCAAAACGGTGGTGAGAAAGTTTCCAAATGTTGATCTGAAATCACTGAGTAACATACAACCCATCAAGGAGGAGATTGTAAAATCTCTCTCCTTGTATTATTATACCTTTGTGGATCTGCTGGACTTCAAGGACCACGTGAGCGAGCTTCTGACCACTGTGGACGCGTGCCAGGTCAGCCTAGATGTGACGGTCAACTTCGAGATAACGAGACTGTACCTGGACCTTGTCACGATCTATGTTCAGCTGATGATCCTGTTGTCTAGGGTGGAGGACAGGAAGGCTGTGCTAGGACTGTTCAACGCAGCTCATGAGATGACCCATCAGCAATCAGATCCAGCCTTTCCCCGTCTAGGTCAGATGGTTATTGATTATGATCCACCATTGAAGAAACTTTCAGAGGAATTTGTTCCACACACTAGAACCCTTACCCACGCTCTTCTCTCTTTAACCAACCTGTATCCAAGACGGAATCTCTCCGCGGACCAGTGGAGAGCAGCACAGATGCTCTCTTTAGTTTCCAACCCGTCCCAGTTACTTAACCCTGCTCACACGGACACTATGCCCTGTGAGTATCTATCCCTGGATACCCTGGAGAGATGGATTGTGTTCGGATTCATGTTATGCCACACATTTCTCTCACACCAACCTGCGATGGATTTATGGACTCTTAGTTTGCACTCTAGCTGGACAACAGTCCTGTTTAGAGATGAGATCATCTATACTCACTCTTACATTCAAACCTACTTCGAGTCGATAAAAGGATACAGTAAGAAGGTTGCCGAGGTGAAAGAATGCTATAATGTTGCTTTAACCAGCGCCGCGGCTAATCATAGAGAGAGAAGAGTATTTCTTCGGACCGCGTTAAAGGAACTGGTTCTTATTTGCTCCGATCAGCCCGGACTTCTCGGTCCTAAGGCTCTATTCGTCTTCATGGGTCTCTGCTTTAGTCGGGATGAGATTTATTGGCTGCTCCGCCACAATGAAAACCCTCCGCCGAGACAAGGCAAGGTTAAGATTACCGAAGATCTTGTGGATCGATATTTACCTGAGCTCCTGTTCCACATGGAGGAACTGAGAGCCCTGATCAGGAAATACAGCCAGGTGATACAGAGGTATTATGTCCAATATCTAGCAGGGTATGATGCCGTGGCTCTAGCGCAGATGATACAAACTGCAACTTTATCCACGGAGGAGGAGAGCGTTATCCTGTCATCCGTATGTAACCAGATATCCCAGCTGACCGTGGATAATGTTGAGGATCCGGATCATGTTTTCGACTTCAGAGCTCTTAGACTGGACTGGGCCCGACTCCAGAGCTACCTTTCCACTGGTAAAACGCCGTTGCTCGAGCGACAGAGAGATCTAGCTGCTCTTCTCAACACCATCAGTTTCCACACCCAGATGGTGGACAACCTGGACGAGATGATCATCGACACGTCCGACCTCTCCCTCTTCTGCTTCTACAGCAAGATATTCGAGGATAATTTCCAGATGTGTTTAGAGTTCCCGGCACAAAACCGGTTTATAATCGCCTTTCCACTCATCTGCGGACACTTCTCCAATATAACCAACGAACTCTGCCCGGAGGAGAGAATACACATCAGAGAAAGGAGTCTGAGTGTAATCAACCTGTTCCTCGACGAAATGGCGAAGGAAGCCAAGAATATTATAACAACGGTTTGTGACGAGCAGTGCACGCTTTCAGATCGTCTTCTGCCAAAACATTGTGCACCTATTATTGCCCAAGTTGTGAACAAGAAGAAGCGGGAGAAAACTCCGAAAAAGTTTGAATTTGAGAAACCTGGAGTCGAGAGTTTACGGAAGACTAGAGAAGATTTAACAACGATGGATAAACTTCACATGGCGCTCACGGAGCTATGCTATGCTATTAATTTCTGTTCAACAATCAAGTAAGTAAACAAGTCATTTTCTTCCTCTTCTTTTTATCCTCTCCTACTTCTACCTCTCCTTTCTCTCCTACCTCTCCTTTCTCTCCTACCTCTCCTACTTCTCTTACCTCTCCTACCTCTTCAGAATCTCCGACTTCTCCAACCTCTCCTACCTTTCCTATCTTTCCTACCTCTCCTAACTATCTTACCTCTCCTAACTATCTTAACTCTCCTACCACTCCTACATCTCTTACCTCTCTTTCCTCTACCTGTCAAACATCTCCAACTTATCCTACCTCTACCTCTCAGATATCTCTTACCTCTCTTACCTCTACCTCTCCAACATCCCCAACTTATCCTACCTCTCCTACCTCTACCTCTCCTACCTCTATCTCTCCAGCATCTCCTACCTCTCCAACATCTCCGACCTCTCCTACCTCTCATACTTCAGAAATTATTAAGCCATCTAAGAATTTCGAGAAAAATAATTATCAGTCGTTTCGAACTCTAATTTCTAATCCTTATGTTTGCAGTCTAGTGTTTATACTACTAATTTTACAATTATTGACTTTCTCCGAGCAAAATTCATAGTTTGAAATGTAAAAGATCATCAGGTTGCAAAGATATGTGGATTCTAAATTATAGTTTGAGGCGAGTAATCTATCCGTATTGTATTTTTACGACGAAAATATTATTTTAGTGTTTGGGAATACACATTTGCACCACGAGAATATCTCCATCAGCACCTAGAGACCAGGTTCTCTAGAGCTATCGCAGGTATGGTCATGTACAACCCGGAGACAGGAGAGATTGCCAAACCAAGTGAGCTCCTGGCATCTGTCAAGGCGTACATGAGTGTACTGCAGAGTGTGGAGAATTATGTAAACATTGATATAACACGAGTTTTCAACAATGTTCTTTTACAACAAACACAACAGGTTAGTTTTCGTATTTCATTTTTTCAAATTGCGTATTTTATAAGCTATGGAATGGAATGGAATGGAATGGAATGGAATGGAATGGAATGGAATGGAATGGAATGGAATGGAATGGAATGGAATGGAATGGAATGGAATGGAATGGAATGGAATGGAATGGAATGGAATGGAAGGGGGGGGGACTTGACATAGAGTTTTAGCTGAAAATGATTAACACAGATTCTGTTGAAAAAACCCTTAAATTTTTATTTTTTCTGTTTTTTAAGTCTTTCTATAAGTACAAAATTAAAAGTTAAATATAGATTAGGTTCAAACATATATTGTTTTGAATTTTTAACTTTTTCAAATAATATGATAAAAATATTGAAGTTTTTATTTATTTGTTAGAGTGATTCCAACGGCGACGCAAGTATAGCCTCTAGGTATACACAGTGGTACAGTGATGTTCTGCTACGACGGGTGTCTGCTGGACATATCTGCTTTAGTAACACTCTCAGGTTAGATTTCAGCTTTTATTTTCGCACATTTTCGGTTTCTATGGAGACAACTTCGCGTATTTTTTAATTCTGTATTTTATCATTTTGCCATAATAAATAAAAATAAGAAGTTACGAAACTTCTTTCAATCCTATTTTACAGAAGCATTGGATATTTTTTCCGACATTAAAAAAAATTTAAGGATTATCGAAAATGCGAGTTTTTTTTTAAAGCAGAAAAATCCCGAAGTCTAAGAAGAAAAATATGATTTTTTGTTATTTAGATCTTTTGTCTCACTGTCAGCTGAGGGTGCTATGCCGTTCAACGCCGAGGAGTTCACCGACCCCTCGGAGCTTAAGAGCCTGGCCGAGATGCTCGGACCCTACGGGATCAAACTACTCAACGAGACCCTGATGTGGCACATCCAGAGCCAGGTGACCGAGCTGAGGAAGCTGGTGTTGATCAACAAGGAGATCCTGATTGCTCTGAGGACCAACTTTGATAAACCGGAAGTGATGAAGGAGTTGTTTAAACGTTTACAGAATGTTGACAGTGTTCTGCAGAGGATGACGATTATAGGTAAAAACTCAATTCAATTAACCCTATCCCGATTGGGCTATTTTTTTCTAATATAGATAGAATATGATTTTGCTCTTAGACTGAATATAGGGATATGTGATGTGAAAAATACCGATTTGCCTTAAATTTTGATGGAGAACTAGGAGAACCACGGGAATGTTCTTTGTTGGTTTTAAAATTCCAAGTCGAGTGGGTTGAACTGTACAGAAAAAGTTTTATTTCTAGGCAAAGCTGGGTTCCCAAGCTAGTATGATTTTAGTTTGTATGTCCGATCATAACTCATGAACCCCTAGACCGTTTTGCCATCAAATCTTGATTTGGGAACTCGGGAGAACCACGGGAAAAAAAATTCTAAGTCGAGTGGGTTGACTTGTAAAAATAAAGTTTTGTTTCTAGGCAAAGCTGGGCTCCCAAGCATGTATTGAAAAAAACGAAGATTATTTATATTTCCCTGTAACCCTATGCATAAATTAATTATCACTATCTTTAGTTATAAACTTAACAATCTCGTATTTAGGAGTTATCCTGTGTTTCCGTGATCTGATCCAGGACGCGCTCTCTGAGCAGCTGGAGGAGAGAATACCCTTCCTTACCTCCTCAGTCAAGGATTTTCATTCCCACGGTAGTTCTCCTCACGAGACCAGTCTAGTGGCAGAGCTAGCCTGTGCTGCAGGATACAGTAGTAGAGTTGATCCAGCTCTACTCACTACACTCAGACAAACACCTAAGGTACAACTTAATGCAGGACCAAGTATCTGGATCAGGGGTCCATTTGGAATTCATAATATTTTTTTTTGGGGGGGGGGGGGATGATAAATTTGATATTTACTGGCCATTTTTAATGTGTTCATTTTATCACCAAAACTAATTCATATTTCCCAAATTAGTAATAAAAACCTATCTCTCTTATTCTGATTAATTGATTGGATATTATCCAGGGTGAGACAGAAGACGAATATCTTACTTCCTGTTTACTCATGGTATTCGTTGCAGTCTCTATACCTAAACTAGCAAAGAGTGAATCCAGCATGTATCAGGCACAACTAGAGGTAAGCAGAGAACAATCCCTTCATTCAATTCTAGGAAGATTACTATTTTCCCTGTCAATTTTATGATCCTTGAGAATCGGGATTCTCGTACATTTCCGTGATTTTCATAAGTAGCAATTTTAGCTTTCAGCTGACGTTTTTTTCTAGCAAAAATGCAATAAATTTTATTATTTTTAAGAAAAACCAATAAAAAATCTAATCTTCTATTCGAATTTTGTAATATGGTAGAGGAAATGCGTACTCCCTTCATACTCTGATTTTATTATTCTTATAGCTTTGCAACCTGATGTTATTTTAAATCTTGGAAATACCAAAGGTCTACGACATCATATTTTAAATATATTCAAAATTTGAGACAACAGAAAAAAAATATTTTGGGGGCCGAAAGGAATTAGTTTTTTGATTCAACTATTTTTACAAAATCCATATTTCAGGGACACTCGAATAACATCCATTGTCTGGCTCAGGCAGTAAACCAACTTCTAGGGTGCCTTTTCTCCCTCGGAGGTCATGATGATACAGAGGACAGGCTCAAGGAGTTCCTGGCCCTCGCTAGTTCTAGTCTTCTCCGGCTAGGACAGGAGTCCAGTCCACAGGAGACAAAAAATAGGGAATCAGTCTATATTCTGCTCCATCAAATAGTTCAGGTAAAGGAAATCAGACTATAATTTGCTCCATCAAATAGTTTAGATGAAGGACAACAGTCTATATACTGCTCCAATTTTTATACTGCATGGCATTCGGTGCTCCCTAAGAATTAGGGGAGGGGGTGGGGGGGGCTGTTGGATCTTTTTCCTTCTTTTATTTAAAATTAAAAATCATTGCAATATTTAATAATTGAATTTATTTTTAGGTTTCTCCGTTCTTAACCATGGATCTTCTTGAATCCTGCTTCCCCTATTCTCTTCTTAGAAACTCCTATCATTCTGTTCATAAGGGAGTTCAGCCATCTATACTAGTAGCTTGAATGCTACAAAATAATATTGCAATATTTGTCGTCTAGTAGATATAAAGAGACGGCGAGGAAAATTTACTTGTTTGACATTTTAGTAAGGTTTGTTCAGATTTAGTTGTAGGGGTATATATTTTTTAGTTGTTAACTCAAATTTTAAAATTCAGTATTAAAGGGACGGTCAAGGTAATTTCAAGTAGCTCTTCATTTAAAACTCTACTTGTCTGATTCTCTCCGCTCCCTTTTAACTCAATTCCAAGCAAAAATTATGGCAATATTCTAAAAGTCAATAATTTCCACTGCGATTTCTCTATAAATTTTACTTGATGGAATTCATTTGGTTCAAGATAAAAAAAAACCGACAATCCTAATTTTTACTCAGATGAAGGTTTAAAAGGTTTTGTTGGGAATCGGCAAATAGATTATCAAGTACAATAGGTGGCAACAGAGAAATGAACCAATTATACACGACGTCACAAGTGTCAAATATAAAATTATATACTCCTCTTAAACCGCCAGGAACGCCAAGAAAATTCTTGTTTTGAATTAAAATTTTGTAAATATTTGAATAAACCCAAAGAATACTCGTTTTTTATAATTATATTAGCAATACACTTTTAATTTTGATTTTGCTCCTTGTTATTCTAAGATTTCCCTAAGGCACGAACCTCTAAAGCTGACCACCACTCACATTATTTTTTTGAAAAAAAACAGCTTAGTTAATTTTTTATCTTGCATTGAGGGAAATTATGTGACTTTAAATGTAAAAAAATATTAATATTTAAAAACGCAATCAATGTTTTTTGTCTCTTTCAAGTGTAGGGAGCCTTGCTTTTTACTTATCTTTTTATATGAAACTAATTTAGAACCTTTTTTTTAAAAAAGTGGCGAGGAAATTATCTTTCCGTTTTTGTGAATTTTCTCATTAGCATTTGTTCTTCCTACTTAACATTGGTACAATTTCTTGATTTATAAATGTGTATTATGTAATGTTATTTATCCCATTTGTGATTTTCAGAGATATCATTTCAAAATGTCGCTTGCTAACGCTACACAAGCACACAGAGAGTCATTACAACGTCAGACTCAGGTTAAACTCTTTGTTATAAATAAAGAAACTCAACTTAACTTAAGGAGAGTATTTCAGGGGTTGTTTACATTTTATATCTTGTAAACAATAAAAAAAGATTATTTGCAATAATTTGTTGTTTTTTTACAATACAATTAGCTCTATTTTCTTAAACTATCCTAATACGTCACAGTAGACTGTAAACAACTCTCATCTTCTCTCTTTGAAAATTTTCCGTAAAATTCTCTTTAAATAGACTGTAAACGTAATTTTAAGTAACCATCAATGCAAAGATGGCAATGTCCGAAGTACAACGATACCCCTAAAAGCTTTGTCTGATCAAGTATGAATTAGATATCCATGTTTATTATTTCGAAAACTGATTATTAAAAATTGTGGTTTCTCCACAGAAGTGACTTGCGAATTTCTTCTGTAGGAAAACATAAAGGAATTATAAGAATTAAATTAAATTTTCTTTAAATTTTATAGTTAACACAATGTTCCAACTGGCCTTAAACACGGTTGAAATAAGGAAAAGCTTAAGTATTTGGAATTAATACAATTAGATCTATAGAACATGAGTTTTCTCAAAAAGATCTCGATGAAAAAAGTTAGGATTGGCATTTTCTCAATTATTTTACTTATATTATCAAACCCCACCAACCATTTTTTTGAGGCATTTCAAAAGTCTTGTTTTTTGCAGGTGCACTGTGAAATGGCCTTGTGTGTTAAAAAACGCCAGTGTTTTTTTTCTTCTCAAAATATGTCGATATGGGCATCAAAAGATCCGCCTTTCAAAATCAAATTCAACAGAAAAAACGTTTTACAAAATAATGAAAACTAGAGAAAAACGGCTTATTTTGTGATTTCCCTAATTTTGAATGCTCTTAGATTGCATGTTCTTAAATATTTTTACAAACCGTTTGCTGCGTTGAAGTAGGCTCAGCAAGACGGATCTACTGATACCCATATTGACATATTTGAAATAAATATATATGGTCAGTTTTAATTTTATTGAAAAATGCTTTAAATGAATGCTGCTTAAAATTAAAAACCACGGTAGTATTTACTACTTGATTTGTGTTTCATGAAAATGTTTCACTCTCACAGTCCCTCCGGGGCTAAGGGGGCGTTTCAAGCGGTGGAGGAGCGCCGGCCCAACTTTATTAAACGACGTGTTGTCCTTTAATTATAACTAGCTGAAGAGCCCGGCGTTGCCCGTGAAAAAAATTTGAAAAAAAAATCACGAATTTTTTTAGACTATAACACCCCCCGGCCACCCATAAGTGTCCACAAAAAATTCCAGCCCAATCGGTTCAGCCGTTTGGTCGGCTTTAGGCAACATATATACGAATGTTTTGTTTTATTATATAGACTAGCTGAAGGGACTGGCGTTTCCCGTGGAAAAAAAGTTGAAAAAAATGTCGAAATTTTTTAGCCTATAACACCCCCCGGCCACCCATGAGTGTATATACGAATGTCTTGTTTTATAATAAAGAACAGATATATCGGTATTCTATTTCAGGCTGATTGGGTGAATCGTGAATATATAGAGCTTATTACTGGTTCTATCAAGAGAATTGCAGATTTTCTTAATTCCTTTGATATGTCCTGCAGGTAGCAATTATAATCTAGAATATACAAAATTTAAGTTGAATTGGAGCCAGGAGTATATATTTTCTTAGAATCCCTTTTTTTGTAGTCCTGGATTTGAAGATTTTATAGATTTTTTCGCTAACAAAATAATAGTTAAGTGCATACTTCATAGCTATACTTTGCTTACATTAAAAGGAGCAAAATTAATATAACTTTTACTTTTTTAAAGAGTATTTTAAAATTTCTTTCACATGTTTAATTATTAAAATAGTGTTAGAAATTTTTTGGTTTTAAATTACGAATAATAACCGACGGTAGTTAGTGCGACATCATTATATCTTCGGTTAGATTGAAAGAACATTAAGAAGAAGTAGTATTAAGTTCGAATTAAACAAACTTTTTCTCGCAACTGCTTTTGAGAAGTAGGATAACTAGCCATACCTGGTTCCACTTCTTCTCGTTGTTCATTGAAACTGATTTTAGATAATTTTTATTGATTATGACAAAAATATGTTTGGTAAAAAATGCCAAATATTGCCAAGTTGGTGAAACGGTTTTTCAATTTAAGCTATTAATGTAACCTAAAAAATGCATTCTTATGTTTAACATTTCTCCTGACATTTTAGCAATCCCTTAAATATATTTCCAGATCCCGACTGAGTGTGCTCAATGAGAAGTTGACGACACTAGAGAGGAAGGTTGATTACCTGGAGGCTAGGGTTGCCAAGGGAGGAGAATCTCCGAACTAGGAGAATCTCCGAACCAGGAGAATCACCGAACTAGGAGAATCTCCGAACCAGGAGAATCACCAAACTAGGAGAATCTCCGAACCAGGAAAATCTCCAAATCAGGAGAACCACCGAACTAGGAAAATCTCCCAACCAGGAGAATCTCCAAACTAGGAGAATCTCCGAATCAGGAGAACCTTTGAACCAAGATTATCGCTAAACAACGATAATGCTGCTCGAGTTCCCTGCCGAGCTTCAGGTTCGGATTCTGTCCAATCTTCCTGCTCCGGATATTTCAACCGTCTCCCAGGTCAATCAGAGTTTTCATAAACTCTGCCAGGAAGAAACTATTTGGCTGAATCTGGCCTGGAAAGATTTTAAAGTGAAGTTAAAAACCACGGAAGAGTTTTCTCCGCGGATTTTCTACCAGTCCGTGCTCTACCCCTATCGGAAAGCTCTCGGTCTATGGCAGAGACAGAATCTAAAATATTACAGTAGTATCATGAAGGTTTCGGTGAGGTCTGATCATCTATTGTTTGAGGAAATGATTCCTCCAGTAGAACTCAGAGAGCAGTTTACATTTCTACCCTTTCTCCAGGTTTATAGGAACAGGTTGGATCAGACGATTAAAGTTAAAAACCTGAGTAAAATTGCTTTATCAAACCAAGTAAAGATTATTAAACCCGTATCAGGGGGAGATAATCTTACTGTAATTATATCAAATATTGAGGATCATACAATGAATCCCAGTGATTGGAGACAAGTAATGCTAGACTTTATCAGTATAGTGGCGGGAGGAGTAGAGATCAATGATCTTCTTCTGATGAGATTCGTCCAAACTTATCATTCTCGAGCTCTTTACTCCTACTCTAAACTTAACCTCTCCTGGCCGGAGATCCCGTTGCCAATCCGTCCTGGAATTTTTGTTGGATCTTACGGACCCCACGGAGTCGAGGTGATTAATCTAACCAGGGATTCATCCCGACCTGGAACCTGCGGAGTCAAGGTTACAGGAGATCCTAATGTTCCCTTCGGACAGGTTTCATTTCATATTGGATCCGGAGAGCAATGTTTGAGGATACCGAGGGAGGACCAGGAGAACTTACCCAACCTGGTCTCGTTCCTGGAGAACCCAACCTTCGTTCAGTATCAGGTTGGTTTACCTCTGTTTACTTTGACATAGAAGAGACAGGGTCAATTATTCTCTTTTGGTGAATTTATTTTTATATTGTATCAGAATATATCATTATATATATCAGAATATATCATTGGTGAAAACGAGAATTTTCGAGCAATTTTTTGAATGTTTTTGTTATGGGAAGGTTTTTTTTTATAAAATTATGAAAAGTTGTTCAAGAATTAAAAATATCAACAATTCAAGATAGAGACAGAATAGATAGAAAACCCATTTATCTTGTCTAGGATAACCTTGAAATAGACTTCTTTACTCCAGCTGGTTGTGCTGAGAGAGCATCTATCCCATACAATAAATGCAAGGTAAAATTATCCATCCTATACAATAAATACTAGGAGAGAGTATCCATCCTATACAATAAATGCAAGGTAAAAGTATCCATCCTTTACAATAAATACAAGGAGAGAGTATCCATCCTATACAATAAATGCAAGGTAAAAGTATCCATCCTTTACAATAAATACTAGAAGAGAGCATCCATCCTATGCAATAAATGCAAGGTAAAAGTATCCATCCTATACAATAAATACAAGGAGAGAGTATCCATCCTATACAATAAATACAAGGAGAGAGTATCCATCCTATTCAATAAATACAAGGAGAGAGTATCCATCCTATACAATAAATACAATGAGAGAGTATCCATCCTATACAATAAATACAAGGAGAGAGTATCCATCCTATACAATAAATACTAGGAGAGAGTATCCTTCCTATACAATAAATACAAGATGAGATGAATCCTTCAACAATAGATTTACAATCACTCGTAGATAAGAATTTATTAAGATGATAATAGTGTTTATTGAAACCCTGGCTATGTGCAATCTCCGATCATTGTTTGGAGAGGATGAGGAGGCAGAATCCTTTATATAGAGTGAGGTTTATGGACCTTTTAGAACATGATTACAAGTTTACAAGATGCAATTCTTGCATGTGAACAGCTGGCAGTTATCGGTTGTTCGAACCCGACCTTTCTTACTTTGAGAGGGAGGGAAGGCAAGCTACTCTTAAGTCTGTTTTATTATAAAACTAGCTTGGGAACCTAGCTTTGCCTGGAGATCTTTTGCTGGACCTCAAAATCAAAACTTTATGCAAATCGGTCAAGGGGTTTAAGAGTTATGATCGGACATACAAACAGACAAACAAAAATTACTATTTTATGTAAAGATACTAATATGACTGATTTTCCCCTTGTTCTATGTAATCTCTAAATACGCTACGTCACGACCGGCCATTTTGAATGTTTTTAGGCTCAGAAGCACATTTTAAATGTTGCGGCTCGCGATTGATCCTTTATCATTTTGTGGCTCGCAGAATTCTGCCTTATCCGTCTCGTTGAATTGAAGATTTAATGCTAAAAACTTTAATAATGACGTCAGCAATATCTGAACGCTTTAATATCGATAAATTCATAAAATAAATGGATTAGATTATTATTTGATCAAAAAAGGGTTAGGTGATAAATCTTATTAACGTAAAGTATTTCAAATTACTTGATAAATGCACTCTAGGTGTAATTTGTATTATATTAACTTAATGGCGCAACAAGGCTTTTTGGAGAAGGGACAATTTTTTGGAAAAGTTAACCCTTTTTGTCAGTTTTTTAAGTGCTAAACGCAATTTTTTTTGTGTTTTTGCACCCTCAATATTTAAAAATATTCCAAATTTGCATTTCTAAATATATATTACAAATCCATATCTTCATTCAGTCCTTTAAAATATGAAACAAACTCATGAATTTTGTAAATCACGTTCTTTCTGCCACTTTTATGTTTTCCATACAAATATGAAGTATCACTTTTATAATTTTTTTTTATAGAAAAACAAGGATATTTTTATCGTTTTTGCCTGGTGACTGGCGGAATTATGCTGCAGTGAAAAAGAAGGAAAATGTAAAAAATTAAAGTTTTAAATAGAGGGTCAGATGAAGTTATGGCGACAGTACTGTAAGAATATTAATATTTACAATTTGTGTATTTAGGGAAGATGGATGTGTGAATGTCAGGTTGCACAACACGGATTCCGAGATCCTAGTTTTATCCCAGGAAACTTTATCATCTTCAACCAGGACGAGTTCGCCGTTCTCTTCATCGAGCTAGCGTCCATATCTCTTTTCAGAAGAGTCACTCCAGAACTCACAAGGGGGCTCTAGACCATGAAGGAACTAAAGATCATGAGTGGACTCTAGATCATTTGTGGACTCTAGATCATGATCGTTGACTCTAGATCATGAGTGGACACTAGATCATGAGTGGACACTAGATCATGTGGAGACTCTAGATCATGAGTGTTCTCTAGATCATGAGTGGACTCTAGATCATGTGGAGACTCTAGATCAGGAGTGTTCTCAAGATCATGAGTGGACTCTAGATCATAAATATTCTCTAGATCATGAGTGGACTCTAGATTATGAGTGGACTCTAGATCATGATTGGACACAGATCATGATTGGACACAGATCATGAGTGGACTCTAGATCATGAGTGGACACTAGATCATGAGTGGACTCTAGATCATGAGTGGACCTAAGATCACAAACAATATAAAGATCATAGTGAACTTGAGACAAATAACTTGAAGTGACTCCTTGATGACAAAACTTTAAAACTAACTCTAAAAGTATCGTGGACATGATAAGAGCATATAAATTGCTGAAATTACGAAACATTTCGCGCAAATTTGCGTACGGTGAAAATGTTGCTTAAATTATCAACTTAAATCATTTGAGGCTTGTACGTACAGTTCACATACAATCGTGCATAATGTATTATGTATAATACAAACAAAGGAATTCAGTCTTTGCCACAAACCCTGATTTTATAATCCCTATTTCTTTGCAACCCAATGTTGTAGACCTTTTATATTTTAAACTATCAATTCTGTTAGATCAAATACTAAAATGTTTAGAATATCAAAAGTATCTACACCGTCAGATTGCAAAGATATAGGGATTAGAAAATGTGAGTTTTAATGAAACGCTTAATTCCTTTTAGTTAAATTGTAATTCGGCTTATCCCAATTTTATTTGAATTTTGTTTGATTCTAGAGAAAGATTGGGAAAAGGCTTTACTGTATTATTCATGTTTTTTTTTATAATAAATTAATATTGATTTCTATTACTAATAAATTAAACTTGTTGTAACAATTCTCCAATTTTTATCACGTTTTTAATCATTTGTCTTTATATTGCGTAATTTTGAATTGAGAAATTGGTAGAATGTTACGATTAAGTTTGCCAAAATATAAGGGATTTTATTTATCTTGATTATTTCATATATATTTAGGCGATTTCATGACGTAAAATAATATCAATGATTGGACGTTTGGAAAATATAATTTTTTTAAAACAATCTTAAAAAACAAGAAATAAAACCTTTTCCTTCATCATCTTATATATCTTCTAAAAGGCGCATCAAAACTCCAGGATGTCCCAAAAAATGCTCCTTTAGCCATTGCATTGTTTATGGTAAGGAATGGAAGATTTAGGAAAAAAGAAAGAGAAGGAGAAGGGTTTTGAGAAAGAGGAAATAACCAAGAGGAAATATATCATTTTCTTTAAACCTGTTTTTCCTCTTAACCCTTCCATACCTTTTACTCCTAATGCTTTCTTGAACCTCTACTCCTGAACTTTTGATTATCCTTCACTCCTACCCCTACCCTCATCCTTTACTGTAAACAGTTCCACATCTTTTACTCTTGACCTATCCTTTCTTTATTCTAAACCCAGTCTCATCCTTTAGGGATTATTAGTAAAGGTACGATAAAGGTTTAATTTTAAAAGAATGGAAAGGACTAGAGTAAATAATAAAGGGAAAGGACTAGAGTTAAAAATAAAGAGAAAGGTCTAGTGTAAAGGGTATGAAAAAGACTAGAGTAAAGAATAAAGGGAAAGGTCTAGAGTAAAGGGTATGGAAAGGACTAGAGTAAAGAATAAAGTGAAAGGTCTAGAGTAAAAAATAAAGGGAAAGGTCTAGTGTAAAGGGTATGAAAAGGACTAGAGTAAAAAATAAAGGGAAAGGTCTAGAGTAAAAGGTATGGAAATGACTAGAGTAAATAATAAAGGAAAAGGTCTAGAGTAAAAAAAAAGAGAAAGGTCTAGTGTAAAGGGTATGAAAAGGACTAGAGTAAAAAATAAAGGGAAAGGTCTAGAGTAAAAAGTAAAGGGAAAGGTCTAGTGTAAAGGGTATGGAAAGGACTAGAGTAAAGAATAAAGGGAAAGGTCTAGAGTAAATGGTATGGAAAGGACTAGAGTAAATAATAAAGGGAAAGGTCTAGAGTAAAGGGTATGGAAAGGACTAGAGTAAAGAATAAAGGGAAAGGNCCTCTCATGATAAGAAGAAAGGTTTAGAGTCAATGACAAGGGGAAAGGTTTAGAGTAAAGATTAAGAAGAAAGGTTGATAGTTAGCCCTTAGGATCCGGAGCCGTGGATCCATGGGTTAAGTCAAAGTATTGTGGACCGGATCCTTAGCACTGATATTGTCGGTTAAAAATGAAAAATAAAAAATATTTTTATACAAATCAGATAGATCTTACAGTGAACCCCTTAATAACGAATACATCGAAAGAATTCATCAAATGTCGTATTCTTCACTTTCTGATAATGGAATGTTGCAGATATTTAGTTTTTTAATGAAATGATTATATGGAACTCTTTAAAACTGTTCCCGCATATTCATTGCTATTTATTTATTTTCGCAAATACTGAAATTTATGTAATATAGTATAAAACTCTTTGAAAAATTGTCAAGACGACATTTGATTAATTCTTCCGATGTATTCGTTATTAAAGGTTTCACTGTATGAAATAATAGTGCAGGATTTATTAGATAAGATTACTTAATAAAAAATATCTGTCCTGTCGAATATCTTCTATAAAATGACCTCTCATATGAAATACCTTCTATAAAATGACCTCTATGAAATGTCTTCTATAAAATGACCTCTATGAAATGTCTTCTATAAAATGACCTCTATGAAATTAAAATGACCTCTATGAAATGTCTTCTATAAAATGACCTCTATGAAATACCTTCTATAAAATGACCTCTATGAAATACCTTCTATAAAATGACCTCTATGAAATGTCTTCTAAGAAATGTCTTTTCTATAAAATAAACAAACATCAACCTTCACCCCTTCATTTGGTAGAAATCAATGAAAATTCCTATCTACGGAATTCCTATCTACGGAATTTCTTAACGAGAAATATCCGAACCCCATTTCAAACACTTTTAATTTTATAAATACACAAATTGTATTGTACTACGAATAAACAATCAGTTAAAGATAACTTTTTTTTAGAGTAATTATTTTGCAGAGGGGGTTTTGCATTATTCATGTTTTTTTTATTACTACTTTTAGGAGTTATAGGTCTGGGATTCAATGGATCCCATAATGAAGCGCCATATATTATCCTAAAATAATCATTAATTATACAATTACATTTAAAACACTAAAATTCTCAAAAATATATTAGGAAAAATAAGAATTAAATATACTAAATATTTTTGGGAAAAATATTATTTGTTAAAGTACATAATTTGATAACTTTTCTTGGGCACACCATTGAGATGATTTAGTAAGATTAATCAAGGCGAGACTCGACAAGTAAAACTAAGAAACGAAAGTTTAGTGGGATTTGGAACAAAGTTTTGTGGTTCGGAATAGATTACTCCAACTACCTTTGGCCACGGTGACAATAAAACAGATCCAAAAAAGCGGAAACTACAATTTACTTCCATCCCTTCTTGTACTCATCCTTCTCTTCTTGTACTAATCCTTCTCTTCTTGTACTCATCCATCTCTTCTTGTACTCATCCATCTCTTCATGTATTCATCCTTCTCTTCTTGTACCCATCCTTCTTTTCCTGTACTCATCCTTCTCTTCTTGTTCTCATCCTTCTCTTTCTATTCTCACCCTTCTCTTCTTGTTCTCAATCTTCTCTTCTTGTTCTTATCCTTCTCTTCCTGTAACCATCCTTCTTTTCCTGTACTCATCCTTCTCTTCCTGTACTCATCCTTCTCTTCCTATACTCATCCTTCTCTTCTTGTTCTCATCCTTCTCTTCTTGTTCTCATCCTTCTTTTCTTGTTCTCATCCTTCTCTTCTTGTTCTCAATCTTCTCTTCTTGTTCTCATCCTTCTCTTCCTGTACCCATCCTTCTCTTCCTTTACTCATCCTTCTCTTCCTGTACCCATCCTTCTCTTCCTTTACTCATCCTTCTCTTCTTGTTCTCATCCTTCTCTTCTTGTTCTCATCCTTCTCTTCCTGTACTCATCCTTCTCTTCCTGTACTCATCCTTCTCTTCTTTCACTCATCCTTCTCTTCCTGTACTCATCTTTCTCTTCCTGTACTCATCCTTCTCTTACTGTACTCATCCTTCTCTTCCTGTACTCATCCTTCTCTTCCTGTACTCATCCTTCCCTTCCTGTACTCATCCTTCTCTTCCATGTACTCATCCTTCTCTTCCTGTACTCATCCTTCTCTTTCTGTACTCATCCTTCTATTCCTGTACTCATCTTTCTCTTCCTGTACTCATCCTTCTATTCCTGTACTCGTCCTTTACATCATGGTACTCATCCAATTTTTTATCTTCTCATCCTTATCATATCCTAAGCTCTTCTTTCTCATTAGCTTGAGACGGAATAGTGTACAGGATGAGAAGGATAAGAAGAATGAGAAAGATGAAAACGATGAGAAGGATGAGTATAGGATATGAGAAGGAAAGAAAAGATATGTATAGGATAAGGAGGATATGGGAAGTATGATAAAAATGAGAAAAATGATATGGATAAGAAGTGTAGAAGAGTTAAAAAAATTTGGTATCGGATGATTATAAATAACATAACATAACAAATAAATCTATAATTTTTATTAATTGATTTTATAGATCCACTTTTGTAGTCAGTCCAAGAAATAATGTTCATCATCAGCCTGTAGACGGGTGAATACTGAATACTATACATATACATCCTAGCTCTAATTTGAATTAAGAAACTATAATTTTCATTTCTAAAAGTTGTTAGTTCATCGTCGAAAAATGCTAACAATCCATGCCAATTTATATTAAACATAGTGTAAACAATAAATTGTAACTTTCCTTATCCTTTTCTTTTCATTTTATTTCAATTTTATATTTTTTAGATTTGGGGGGAAATATTCTCACAACCTTTACTTTTAGAGGTTTTTTTTTAATATTTTCTCCTTCTCATTCTTTCTAAATTATGGCTGATGAGAAGGATGAGAAAGATGGGATCAGTATGAGCAGGATGAGTAAATGGGTCGCGGGGTGCAATTATACACAGGCTTAAGCTTCCATATATTCTACCTCCTCTCATACGTAAACCTGGGGTCACGGGGTGCAATTTAAACTGCCCTATGATGAGAAGGATGAGTACAGGATTAGAAGGATGAGTAAAGCATGAGAAGGATCAGAACAGATATGAAGGATCAGTTCAGGATGAGAAGGATGAGTATTGAGTACAATATGAGAAGTAATTGAATATTCTATAAGAAGGTTGAGTTGCAGTGAGTACTCTGAGTACAGGATGAGAATGATTTCTACAGGATGAAAAGGATTAGTACATGGATGAGAAGGATCGCCATACAGAATGAGAATGATAAGTTCTTATCCTTCTTGATCTTCTTAAATTAAGAAGGAGCTGTCTTTAAAAAAATTAGAAAATCGAGGATAAGTAATTTTAAGTATTTGCGTAAATTGCCAGGACGAAAAAAGGTCTTCTTCTCAATATTCTTAAATTAAAATGGCTGTTGTAATCTTTAGATAAAAATGAGTATGATTAGAAGGATAAGTATTATAGAACTTGATGAGCGGCCAGGCCAATGTAATGTAAAAATCCTGTATATAGTTGACAGTTCAACGTACTCTCCAGATGTTGGGATTTTAAATAAATGCGCCAATGAACCCATCCGCTAACCCAGTTGTACAGTGGAAGGGGGGGTAGCAGCTGATGTGAGGGGGGTGTGTGTTAAGGAGAGGGGAGGCAGGTTTCCTGTCCGTGACGTAAAACCATTATTCTATTTGCGCCAAATAATTTAGTAGTAGTAGGTTAAATACGACGACATTCTAAATCTGCACTAGAATTCACAATTTTTCCACGACCGTTGATTTTACCGTTTTACGTGAAAAGTATCATTCAATTGTTGTCCATACCTATCATCATGAAAATGATGGTCATCTTCGACATTTTACTTTTGGTTTAAACATGGAAAGGTCAATATTTTCATCGAATTTAGGGTTTTAAGTCTTGTGATACCATAAAGTCAGTTTAGTTCAGCGCTGCCGCTAATTCTAGTCTTGTTTGAATAAAGCGCGTCCACATATCGCTGTTGGGGGGATTTTTTAAATTTCAGCAACATTTCTTTCTCTGTTAGAGTGAAGAAATGCATATCATTTTTACATTTTTGTCATTAAAAATTATAAATTGTTTTATTTTATTTTCAGAGTTAAATCATGTTTCAGTCCTGACAGACCTGACATGATCTAGGGTAGAATTTAGAATCGGACACATATCTTGGGATAAATTGTAGACTTGAAAAAAATTTTTTTTTATGATTTACTAGCGAAGTTATTTATTTTATTTATCGCGGTGATTTGACGACATGAGTTCGAGTCATCTTCCTGAAAACCTACTTTTGAAAAGATGTCGACTGCAGCTTATATCAATGGAGTCTCCTACAGAGCTTACTGGAACCAGGTATTGATGAATCTAAATATGTACAAGTTTGTATTATTTCATGGTGAGGCCAGGACACCTTCTGTGCCTAACGCCACGACTAGGATAACTAGGACAGGCTAGGGGGCCGGGCGCTGCGGTCACGTGTTCACCATTCAAGTACATTTTTGTAGAAGGGTGTGGGGGAGGGGACTCCAAAAATCTTTCTCCAGGAAACTTGAATCATTTTTACGACATGAGCAAAGTAAAATCTTATCCGTGTGGACTGCTGTAGCCCCAGTGCTCGTGTCCGAATAGTCATCTCACCCGAACTGTGTGATTATTATTTGGAAAAGCTGAAAATATAATCAGAGACAATATTTTTGCTTTACTCTATTTAATCATGATTCTTGTGAAAGTACAAAGATGTTTTCTCTAAATCTGTGTTTAATTTCTGCCCAACCCCCCACCCAATCATTTATTATTAGTTCGTTAAATGGGTTATAAGTCGAAAATTCGAAATTTTGGAATTTTTTCAATGAACATGAGAAGTAGTTTTTTTTTTTCGATTTTATATTTTTAGAAATATTTTTTTTGAATTTGTACGGCATAATTTTTGTTGTTGACATATTTTATGAACAAAATTTGTTAAGAAGTTTTTGTTGAGTCAATGGGTTAAGTTAATAGACAATTGTGTGGCTTTAAAACAGTGCTTAGGATCCGGATCCGTTGGATCCGCAAGATTATGGCTTCCTGGATCCGGATCCGCAAAAATATGCGGATCCACATTTTTATCCTAACAAGAAGAAGGGGGTGTAATGCTTCATAATATACACCCCTTCATTTTTTTTTTTTATAATTCAGTGAATAAATCTCAAATAAACAAAACCCTCCAGATTGGCATCTCGAAAAACAAATGATTGAATCCAAAAGCTGTTATTTATATATGTTGTGTTCGTCTAGTTCTGTTGCGGAGACAATCTTGAGCCCCATGACAGATCTAGCAAAAAATCTGGGAGACACAAGCCTAGGTCTCACACCGGTCCAGGACTCCAAGGTAATTTAGATTTTTACACAATCTTAAGATAGATTTGTTGTGCTTTATTTGATTGAATAAGAAACTGATTACTCGCCACAAACTCCAATTTTATAATCTATATATTTTGGCAACCTGATATTTGATATTTAAAACTTCGACAATATGATCTATCAGAACTATGAAGTTAGAATTCTAGCAAAGGTCTGCAACATCAGATTGCAAATATTTGTGATTAGAAAACTAGAGTTTGAGGAGCGTAATCCGTTTCTTTACGTATAAAATTGTTTAAATCAATGATTTAATGATTCATAAAAAACAAGTTCCAACATTTCATAAAGAAAAATATTTCCCATTTTTTGTATGTTTAACAATTTAACCAATTTCTTTGGCATTTATCTTTTAGTATTCTAGAGAACCCGCAATTGAAAATTTTAAATATTTTTTTAATAAAAAAGATGTAAAGCGTACTGTTGTCAATAGGGCGCAGAACTTTTACTAAATGATCAATTTAAATTACGTCGAAAGTCTCTTTAATTTATTATTATTTTATTTAGCGTCGATTATCCATGGAGAGTGAGTCTAGTGACTCTACCCCGAGTCCTAAGGAAAAGTTAACCTTCAACATTGAGACCCCTCTTTCCAGCCTCACAAACAAACCTAAACGTCTTCTCCAACCCTCGTCTCGGTTTAGTTTCGGCCTCATGGCCGGCACAGATGAACACAACAAGGAGAATATCCCGTGTGGAGTATTCTCTTCTCCTGGTAAACCTGCACCTGGATATAATACAAACTCACCACGGAACAAACTCAAGCTTAAGACTGAAAGCCCGGCCAAGACGTTTTCTCCGAGTAAAACCTCTGGACTGGGACTACGTCGGCTCTCCCCTCTCAAGGATAAATCTCCTTGCAAGAAGATTTCTCCGATAAAGAAGAGGATTACCAAGCGACCCATGTTCACTGTTCTCGACGAGGAGGCCGCCGAGGATGGATGTTCCAGAGACAGTGGTTACGATTCTCAGAACCTCGAGGATTTTGGAACCCGGAAAAGGAAACCTAACCCTGGTTCTATGGAGGATATTCTTCAGGATTGCTCTCCGGGCAAGGAGGACGGAATCGCTCCCCTCAAATCCTCGCCGGAACGGGACGAAAAAATAATCCGATCGGACGGATTTGATTTTGACAGTTTGGAAACTATCAGCGAGGATCAAGAAAATGAATCTCCCAAGTTTGACCTGAACTCTCTTCTATCAAACAAAATGGTGATCCTTCCCTCGCATTTAGAAAACAGCATGGCGTTCAACAATCCTCTGCAGGACGAAATAAAACCAACAGAGAAGTATTTCCCTAGAAAACCGTTTGTCGGCGCACAAAACCGCCCCACGTTTAGGAGAGCTTTGTCCATGTTGGATCGACCAACTGGGTCGGATTTTGATTCTCCAGTGTCCCGGAACTCAACTTTTACCCTGGCAAGGTTCAAGCGACCTGATCCACCTAAAGACGAAGATACTGAAACGTGCAGTAAACGTAGAAAGTTTAACCCCTCTAGTCTCATGTCGGAGCGATCTCAATCCCTCCAGGGAACCTCAGAGGTTAAGAAACCCAAATTTTTCCGTTCTCACTCCGAGAACGAGCTGAGCGTGATGCAATCTTGTCAGTTGAAGGAAGAGATAGAGGATATACTGCCTGATAGCTCCAGGTACTATATTTCATGGACAGCGAAGGTTATTAACCCTCGGATCATTTTTTTTTATTTACAATTTCAATTTATTTAAACCGCAGATTTTTCTATCTATATGATAAAGCTCTTCTCTCATATATACAGATATGTTTGTATATATGTCCGAATGGACTGACATTTTTAGGGGGTAACACATGTTAAAAAAATCAATTTTTTTAAAAATCGAATTTCATTTCAAGAATTAAATTTTTGTCTTTCAAAAATGAAATAATTTCATTTCAAAAATCAAATTTTTTTTCTACGAGCACTTCAGCTAGTTTTTGATGAAGTAAAAATCAGGTATAGAAAAGGGATTATAGACAATTCTAAAAAAGAATTTATTAACTTTTTCCGATTTTTTTTTTTCATTCTAATTATTTCGATCAGATTGTACGTCCTTCCCTCCTTGAGTACTGGGAACAAGCATCCGAGCCTACGGAGTATATCTTGTGAAACAATGGCAAAGGTTATTACAGGAGAATACAGTCAATGCATCAATTCATATAGGTAAACTTAGCTTAGAGCCAGCCCCCTCCCCCCCAACATTTGAGTTAAAATAAAGGCATTTTAACCCCACAACCCCCCAAGCCCCTGAAAACAACTAAAATATATGCAACAAAAGCCCTCTAACATTTAGTTTTATTATTTTCTTGTTTTAGAATCATTGATGCGCGTTACGCCTTTGAGTATGAGGGCGGACACATAAAGGGTGCAGAGAACTGGCAACATGGTGAAGATGAGGAGTTTATATCCGCCTTCCTTCCGCCACATCCCCTCCCCGCTCCGCCCCAGCATAATATCAACTGCAACGCTAAACGGGACATCTTGATATTCCACTGTGAGTTCTCCAGTCAGAGAGGACCAGACTTCTACATGAAACTCAGAGAAAGGTTGTATTTTTGTTCCTGTTGCATTCTTTAATCTTTATGTTTGTGTCAAATATCAAAATTTTAAATCATATATTCTTCAGCAGTAATAATTTTAACAGATATTAACAGTAAGTAAAACAAGTAAAGCTGTTTCACAAAAACTCTTTACGCGGATTCAATTGCTCGGTACTTGTTTCAGCATTCTGTGTCTTTCGATCACAATGTCATGAATTAAACATACAGATATCTTGTTTTTCTTGGTAGTGTAGGATATCTTGGTTTTCTTGGTTTAGTGTAGGATATCTTGGTTTTCTTGGTAGTGTAGAATATCTTGGTTTTCTTGGTAATGGTTTAGTGTAGGATATCTTGGTTTTCTTGGTAGTGTAGAATATATTGGTTTTCTTGGTAATGGTTTAGTGTAGGATATCTTGGTTTAGTGTAGAATATATTGGTTTTCTTGGTAGTGTAGGATATCTTGGTTTTCTTGGTTTAGTGAAGGATATCTTGTTTTAGTGTAGGATATCTTGGTTTAGTGTAGGATATCTTGGTTTAGTGTAGGATATCTTGGTGTTCTTGGTTTAGTGAAGGATATCTTGTTTTAGTGTAGGATATCTTGGTTTAGTGTAGGGTATCTTGGTTTAGTGTAGGATATCTTGGTTTAGTGTAGGATATCTTGGTTTAGTGTAGGGTATCTTGGTTTATGCAGGATTCTTTGTCGTGACTGATATAAAATATTATTTGCAGATAAGACATTGTATAAACTTGAATTGAAATAATCCTATTCTTATTTAGGGATCGTCAACTAAACCAGCATGTATATCCTGCACTACACTACCCTGAATGCTACCTACTCCATCTAGGATACAAGGAATTCTTCCTCCAGTATCCTGAGCTCTGTACAGGCAGCTATACAACCATGGTCGATCCAAAACACGAGGTAATAAAATGATTGATTTGCCGTAAATTACGGTGTCCCGAAAATTGACAAATGTACCGTATATTACGGTGTCCCGAAAATTGGCAAATGTACCGTATATAACAGTGTCCTAAAAATTGGAAAATGTACCGTATATAACGGTGTCCTAAAATTGGAAAATGTACCGTATATAACAGTGTCCCGAAAATTGACAAATGTACCGTATATAACGGTGTCCCAAAAATTGACAAATGTACCGTATATAACGGTGTCCCAAAAATTTACAAATGTACCGTATATAACGGTGTCCCAAAAATTGACAAATGTACCGTATATTACGGTGTCCTAAAAATTGGAAAATGTACCGTATATAACAGTGTCCCGAAAAGTCCCGAATAGAAAGCAGCTGAAAATTCTAGGAAATGTATTTTCGAAATATTTAACTATGGATTCTTTCAATATTTAAGAAAGAAGCAATTGAACTCTATAAAATTAAGGAAGAAGGATTTATGACGTTTTAATTTTTAATCTTAAAACATATCACTGAACTCACTAACTTTCATTTTGTTACGTTTTCTTCATTCACGGAGGTTAGTGATCTTAGATCTCTGTTTCATGATATTTTAACAATTTAATTTGTTTAACATTGCAGCAAGACTTACGGAAGATGAGAGCTAAGAGTAAATCCTGGTCTGGTGGAACCATCGCTAGAACATCTAGGATGGGTAGACTCAACCTCTAATCCTGATCTCATGGAACCATCGATAGAACAATAAGAACGAATCGAATCAACCTATAGTTAAATAATTTTCAGACGCTTCTAATCTATGCTTATGTTTTTATGTCTGAAAGCAGATTAATTTTGAGTCAATATCGTTTTAAATTGGATTTTTAGATCAATTTTTTTGTGTATAGATCCGCTTTTTCCTGTTAATCCTTCGCACTTATTTACACACATATTAATGAGAGATGAAATTTAGATAATCTTCGAATTAATCAGGGATTGAATAAAGAAAATCCTCGAGTAATTTAGGGTTGACTTTATAAAATCCTCGAATTATTTTGGGATGAAGTTAAAAAATCCACTGAATTTACGGGCGATGGAATCAATCAAATTCTCGAATTATTTAGGGATGAAATAATAAAATCCTCGAATATTTCAAGAAATCATGAAAATCCTTTAAAATCACTGCGGCTGTTAAGCCGATTATAAATCTTGAAAAGTTGTTCATTTCACGAGAAAGTTTAAAAGTTCAATTAAATATTAATATTTCTCAGATTTGAACTAGATTTCGTGTAACTCTGTGAACCTAGTTTTCTAACTTTTATTCGTCAGTTTTTGTTCATTTTATCAAATGATTTTTCGTAAAACTTTAAATTGATATTTATGATTTATTTTCTTATGTTTCTGTGAATGATTTTACACTATTAGACAACGAATCAAAATTTAATAGTTGATGTAAATGCAACAAAAATTTTCGTACTTTGTTCAATTTTTAGTTTTTATTTGACAAATTTGTTTTAAGTTTAATCAAGTAGTTAATTTATATTTTCTCCAGTCGGAACTGGTACCTGGAGAACAGGAACCAGGATCCAGTCGGAACTGGTACCTGGAGAACAGGAACCAGGATCCAGTCGGAGCTGGTACCTGAAGAACAGGAACCTAGATCCGGAGATCTCTTAAAAGTACAAAATCTTTTTTGTACGTTCTTGTTACGTTATGTAGAATGCCATTATATGTTCGGATGTAGGACCTTGGTAGTGTACTTATACAAGTACATCCATGTGATGTACTGAGTACCAAATACACGAGTGTCACCTATGTAATTGATGAAAGCATTCTTAAGTAAATTGTAAATAGTGATTACATTGTGATTTTCCTATTTGTTTCGTTCTATTTTTAATTTTGACTGAAATATGTTTCTGTTCTTCTAGCAGAATATACTTAGAACCAGCAGTGCATATTTTATAGAGAACAATATACAACAAACTATATATGTTTCTGTTCTTCTAGTAGAATATACTTAGAAGCAGAAGCGTATATTTTATAGAGAGCAATATACAACAAACTATTTATGTTTCTGTTCTTCTAGTAGAATATACTTAGAAGCAGCAGTGCATATTTTATAGAGAACAATAACAAATTATCCAGAAACTAGCAATAGATTTAAAGTAGTAATCTCAGTTTGTCTGTCTGCTTGTTCGTTTGTTTGTCAGATCTTAACTTACAAATCCCTTTACCGATTGTTAAGTTGGATGACTTGTAAAGATAAAGTTAATGTTCCAGGATAAGCTGGATTACCAATGCTAGTAATTTAAGTAGTAATCTCTGTTTGTCTGATTGGATGTCGGCTCATAAATCATGAACCCCTAACAATTTGGTTCAAGGCTCAAATATTTAGATAAATTTTTTGATATTTTGTAAAAGAAATAGTACCTATTTGAATATCCCTGAGCCCAAAACTATTAAGACGGAACTGAAACCTAGTAACGTAAACCGGGTTTCATGAAAGTGATAATTAGGGGAAAAATATTATTTCGTCAGTTGGTTTCTTTATATTCTCTTTTTTCACAAATATATAAAGCCTATAATTACCAACGCATGTTAGGGTTGGTCGATTTTTGAAACAAGCTCGAGGGCCTAGTTATATACCTGGCGCCTAAATATTCAAAGAACTTAGCCCCAAAAAAAAAAAAATTTAAAAAAGAATAGCGATCGTACAGCCATTTCGCAAAAAATCGCTGGAAAAACCGGAAAAAATATTATCAAAATACATCAATATGGGTAAAAACCATGCGTCTCAAATTTTTTGTTGTATTTTAAATTGTTCATAGCCAAAAAACTAGTTTTATTATGGGACTCGGCCAAATTTTCGATACAAAATTTTGTCTTTAATTGGTGCAATAATGAACAAATCCATTTGAAATAGACTTTTCTGAATTCAGTGTTTTAAGACGGATCTTTTGACACAATTATTGACATATTTTTCAGTCTTCTAGTTACTTTTTCTTCGCAAAATTGGCCGCGCGATCCTTATTTTTTAAAACTTTTGATTATTTGTTATTGCTAAGTTCTTCGAATATTTAGGCGCGGGTATTTAACTAGGCCTTCAAGCTTGGTTCAAAAACCTAACAGATGGTTTTAAATAGTTCTGACCAACTTTGCCAACTGCCCCTCTAGGTCGCAAATGAACAATTGTAGGTAAATAGACTAACCCTAACGCAAGTGGATTTTAATTACGTCCAAGGAGAAATATATCTGGAGCATTATGGATCAAGGAGGAATATATATGTATCAGGGTTCAAGGAGGAATATATCTGGAGTATCAGGGTTCAAGGAGGAATATATCTGGAGTATCAGGGTTCAAGGAGGAATATATCTGGAGTATCAGGGTTCAAGGAGGAATATATTTGTATCAGGGTTCAAGGAGGAATATATCTGGAGTATCAGGGTTCAAGGAGGAATATATTTGTATCAGGGTTCAAGGAGGAATATATCTGGAGTATCAGGGTTCAAGGAGGAATATATCTGGAGTATCAGGGTTCAAGGAGGAATATATCTGTATCAGGGTTCAAGGAGGAATATATTTATTGTATCAGGGTTCAAGGAGGAATATTTAGAGTATCAGGTTTCAAGAGGAATATATCTGGAGTATCAGGTTTCTCTGTGAAATATATCAGGAGTATCAGGGTTCAAGGAGGAATATATCTGGAGTATCAGGGTTCAAGGAGGAATATATTTGTATTCAAGGAGGAATATATCTGGAGTATTATGGTTCAAGGAGGAATATATTTGTATCAAGGTTCAAGGAGGAATATATCTGAATCAGGGTTCAAGGAGGAATATAGCTGGAGAATCAGGGTTCAAGGAAAAATATATCTTAGAGTATCAGGGTTCAAGGAGAAATATATTTGTATCAGGGTTCAAGGAGGAATAAATTTGTATCAGGGTTCAAGGAGGAATATATCTGGAGTATTATGGTTCAAGGATGAATATATTTTTATCAGGGTTCAAGGAGGAATATATCTGGAGTATCAGGGTTCAAGGAGAAATATATTTGTATCAGGATTCAAGGAGGAATATATCCGGAGTATCAGGGTTCAAGGAGGAATATAGCTGGAGTATCAGGGTTCAAGAAGGAATATATCTGGAGTATCAGGGTTCAAGGAGGAATATATCTAGAGTATCAGGGTTCAAGGAGGAATATATTTGCATCAGGGTTCAAGGAGGAATATATCTAGAGTATCAGGTTTCAGGGAGGAATATATTTGTTTCAGGGTTCAAGGAGGAATATATCTGGAGTATTATGGTTCAAGGAAGAATATATTTGTATCAGGGTTCAAGGAGGAATATATCTGGAGTATCAGGGTTCAAGGAGGAAAGTATTATGGTTCAAGGAGGAATATATCTGTATCAGGGTTCAAGGAGGAATATATATCTGTATCAGGGTTCAAGGGGGAATATATCTGGAGTATTATGGTTCAAGGAGGAATATATCTAGAGTATCAGGGTTCAAGGAGGAATATATTTGTATTAGGGTTCAAGGACGAATATATCTGGAGTATCAGGGTTCAAGGAGGAATATATCTGGAGTATCAGGGTTCAAGGAAGAATATATTTGGAGTATCAGGGTTAAAGGAGGAATATATATGGAGTATTATGGTTCAAGGAGGAAGGCTCAGTAACATTATGCCTAGTTCGTGAATGCCTAGTTCACTATGCCTAGTTCATGAATGCCTAGACAACATTATGCCTAGATTGCTGAATGCCTAGATTTTTGAATGCCTAGTTCTTAATGCCTAGATAACATAATGCCTAGAGAACACAATGCCTAGATTCATGAATGCTTGGATAACATTATGCCCAGATAACATAAGAGTGCATGGAATGCCTAGACAATGTATTTCAAAGAGAAATAAAAATATTAAAGAGAGAGAAAAAAACATACAATTCGGTAACATTTTTACAAAAATATGCAATATAGTTCAGATTATATTTCTACTTTGGCCCATGCATGATAGGCAAGAAATTTGACCAATAAAATATGTAATAAATCATGAAAACATATTAGTATCATTTATTTATTGCTTTACAATGTCTATAGGCATTCAATTCAGTGTAATGTTATCTAGGCATTGGGTGACTAGGCATTATGAAATCTAGGCATTCATGAATCTAGGCATGGTGTTATCTAGGCATTACGAACTAGGCATTCATGAATCTAGGCAAAGTGTACTAGGCATTCACGAACTAGGCATTCGGGAACTAGGCATAATGTTACTGAGCCAGGAGGAATATATTTGTATCAGGGTTCAAGGAGGAATATATCTAGAGTCTCAGGGTTCAAGGAGGAATATATCTGGAGTTTCAGGGTTCAGGGTGGATTAAACCAGGAGTATCAGGGTTTAAGGAGGAATATACAGAGTGTCCCAAAAATTATGACAGTAGGAAGACGACTTGAAGGTCGTCGCTGAGCCTTGCAATTATTTGCAGCATTTTTTTAATGCTTGAAACCATTATGACAAAATTCTCTTAGTCCTGGCATTTCCGCAATGTTGTCTCCACTTTTTTGTGCTGTCAATATAATCGGAGATATTAAAAATTTCCTCCAGATATATATTTTTTTTAAACCAAAAGAGCGAACTCAAAACAAAATTCTTCATATCTTTTGTAATATTGAAAGCACAAAGAATGCAGACCACATTTTGGAAATTTCAATCTAGAGGTATTTAGTGAAAAATGACTCGAGAATTTTTCTTCTAAAATTAGGTTTACAAATAAATGCCGCACATTGTTTCAAAGATCAAAGACGACCTTCAATTTGTCTTGCTACTTGCATGTTTCTTGGGACACCCTGTATCTCACATTCGAATATGTAAAAAAGAAAGACTTAGTTTAAATAAGCTTAAGTAAATCTAAAGATTTTTCTTTTCTTACATTTTATTATTTAAGTATTGGACTGATATTGGACTGATATTACCGGAGATATTACCCCATCCTCTGGTTGAGGATTGAACATGTTTGTTAATTAATAAAGTTATATACATATCCTAATCTGAGTATTCCTCTGCAGTTACACTATAAACATCATTGGACTGAATAATTAGATTGAAGATATTGATCTTAAGACTCTTCTTCATCTTCTTTAATTCTTTATCTACTCTTACATTTGGACGGAGATATAGGATATAGTCTCCTGATTACATTTCTTAATTAGGTCTTTTTATTCTATCCTTTAATGAGGGTTGAGGTGAGGAATTGATACATTCTAGAGAGGAAGGGAGGGAGGTGTGGAGAAGGAATAAAAGAGAAACCTCCCCTCCTCTCTCCCTTCCCGGCCTCTGCTCAGCCTCTCTACTCTGTCAGACGGTGGATGCAGGTTTAAGAGAAACGAGTTAAATTACTCCCGGAGTAAAACCTCTCTCAGGTTCAAGATATCCGACTACACATCGTTATGGTGACACAATGGGTGAAAAAGAAATAATTGTTAGGACGGGTTCGATTCTCTCCGCTCTTTTCAAGGTGATAGAACAGGTACATGGCTCCGGACTAGGGTTAAACACCTGCGAAGGGTCGGGTTCGGAGCAGTATACCGTTCTACTCCGTGTTTACGGAAGCATTTCTAAGTTTGCGTTGTGATTCATAAACACACTTATAGATTGTATTGATTGATATTATTATTATTATTATACAAGGTGTATCTATTATTTTATGAATCATCTTAAAGGGAGTTTAGACGTAATTTCAATTCATCATTTTAGAGTTAAATTCTCAATTTACAACGGTAGCCTTTAAAATCTTCCTTAACAAGTCTCAAACTGAATTTAATTGATGAGAATTAAAAATAAATGTCTAAATGAACCATTCTTGAAAACTCCCATGAAATATATAGATACGTGATGAAGTGTTCAAATCTTGAAATGATTACAGATTTTTTATTTTCAATATTGGAAAAG